CAGAGCAGCAGGAGTTTGCCTGGTACGTCCGTTCGCGGAGAGCGGGGAGAAGTGCACGGCACTTCACGCGAAGCTACCTGTACATACAAACCTACAGCAGGTATAAGTAGATCTGCAGCCCCTCGATGATGCCGCCTGAGGACTTGCCTTGCATGCGGCATACCACAAACGACGTTTTCAATCTCCCAGTGCAAGGCAGAATGCAAGGGTAATGACTTCTTGATAGCCGTGTTGCAAGATCCTGCTCATCAAGCTTTTCCTTCCAAAGCATATCCCCCCAATTAAAGATAACTGCTATAATGTATCCAAATCTCAGCCGTCTACAAAGTTCCGTGACAAAACCCCCACGGTCCTCACTCATGGCTCGAAAAAAAACCAAGCAGAATCAAAACAGCAGGCCAGCTCACATCATCCGACTGGGGAGGGACACACTCACCGCAGATCGACCTTTTTTAAGGTTATGAATTCTGTGCCCCGAGAAACCCTCAGCTGGGCTCCATGGATCGTCGCCTGACCGATCGGACGTCCCAATCAAAGTCAAAGCTTCCATGTTGCACGAGATCGAGAGGGTCCATCTCAGTGGACTCGTTAGCTCGAGTGATAGATGATTTTCAGTCTGCTGGTCACGAAGAATTCGCTCATAGCAGCAAACAATAGGTTCAGCAGCCATATTGCGTATGCAGCAGCCTGGACGCCTGCTGCCCTGCTGCCCTCCATCCCCCCTCCTCCATATGCAGTGCGTCGATCGATAGTGTGTTTTATGATCGACCAACTTTCAGCTTGCTTGCTTGCTTGCTTGCTTGCTTGCTTGCTTGCTCCATATTTAAATCTCCACGCGTACCCTCCCTCACCAGGTGGAATACTCGGTCGACGTACATTTAGACCCCGAGGCCCTGGCGACTCTCCCGAACGTCGCGATGCGCAGGCGGACATACTCTCCACCTCGATGAGAAGACACCATAGATTCGAGATATAAAAGCACTAGAAATGACCCGGTAGCTGTGATCCAGCTATCACCTGTCACACATTATATATCAAGATGATCGCCTCTCAGCTTATCAATATTCTATACCTGCTCACCGCATCCACTCTGACCCTGGGTGCCTCCATCCCATCGTCCCAAACGACGAAGCCAACCGTCTACCTGATCCGTCATGGGGAGAAGCCCCTGGATCCCAGCGACAGCGGTCTCAACGCTGACGGCTTCAAGCGCGCAGAATGTCTCCGTTCCGTCTTTGGCGCCGACTCGCCATATGATATCGGATATATAATGGCACCACACATCAACTCTCGTAAGGATCCTCCAGACAGCAGCCCTTTCCCAGACTTCCTCTTTTGGATTTCCTTTTGATCGCAAAGCGTTGACACTGACACCAATACTATATAGTCGGCCAGCATCGTCGCTCCTACGAAACCGTCCTCCCCCTCGCCCACGACCTCTCCCTGCCGATCGACACCTCCTGCAAGCGCAATGACGTGAAGTGCGTGGCGCGAATGATCCGTCACTATCGGGGCCCCGGTAATATCCTGATTTCATGGCGGCATGGAAAGATGGCGAATATCGTCAGCGCCTTGGGCTCGGATGACCCACCTGTTTATCCTGAGAAGCGGTGAGTACTCTCCCTCGTATACTATCTAGACAGGGGAAAAAAGTTACGCCTCGTGATGTTCAGGTGTGGATGGTGGCTGATATTTGGATGGCTCGATTAGGTTCGATTTGATTTGGACAATTCCTTGGCCGTTTGATAACATTACCTCGATTGAGAGTGAGAATTGTGTTGGTTTGGATGATCAAGGACCCGACTCCGAGTTCTTGGAGCTCTAGAGGCTGGTAGTGTCGAGGTCATTGGCTCCTGTTGGATACTAAGCGCATTGCAGGGTGGATATATATCAGTGATGTAACCGAGATGTATCACCGAGTATCATTGGAGTACTAGGTTCACAGAGATGATATGTCTGAATTATACTAGGGATACCATCAAGGATCGCAGCCTGGAGTTGGATCCTGCATTTGTCGCCGTTTATTGATTTTATTGCTGTGTAGTTTAACAGCCCCGATTAGATCACATCTTAGTCCAGATCATATTTCCTGACCGTGGTGATGCGTTCGAATAATAGAGTAGGGGGGCACGTGGACCATACTTCCAGTGACATCCCGGACTTACCAGTTGCCGGGGATACTGTAAGGCCGACCGACTCCGTAGTACTGGAATAATTCTCTTGTGTGCGCAGGCGGTGAAGGCGGTGAACAGCCGAGCGGAGAACCAGCAATGCCAAGATTTCAACCTGCCCACCCAATTTTTTCATGGTATCGCGGCTTTCGTTACCTTGACCCCGAGCGTTGCCCATTAGACCCATCAACCTCCAATTCCGGCCCTGGTATTTGCTTCTCAAGTTCTTTTGTGTTCTTGGACAGGCCTGCTGGTTTTTTTTTCTTTTGTCTCTTGCAGAAATGGATGACATCGAGGTGTGTTGCCCCGTGCACTGCACTGCACTGCTGTGTGCCTGATCTTGAGATTGACATTTTTTTTTCTTCTCATCAGGAACGCCTGCGAGACCACGCCCAGGCCTTCGATGGTCTGTTGTCGCTAATCCCGGCAAAGAACTACTATGGTGAAGATGGCAGTGTACGTTCTCACCTTGGTTTCTCCTTTTCTGCTCAAAGCAAAAAAACCCCTCCTGTCCTCCGTCTCCTCTCCTCCTCTCTTCTCCCTTGTCCCCCCTCCTTCCCAGCACCATCCAGCCGCTGCTCAAGGACGTGGCTGACCGCAACCCCTTGATTAGGACCAATGGCAGCGGAAAAAGCAGACCAAGGAGCAAGCTCGCGAAGCCAAGCGGGCCAAGTTGGACCCCGACAATGTCAAGACGGCCAAGGATGTGATGGACGAGAACGCACGTAAGCGCAAGCGCAACGAAGAGCAAGCTGGAGAAGACGCCGCGTCCGAGGACGGAGAACTTGGCTCCGAGCAGCCTAGAGAAGGTCTGAAACGTGGTGATGCAAAGTCCAAGAAGCGAAAACAGACCGAAGATTCGGCAAACCCGGATGCCCAGGCCAAGTCGAATGAGGCCGCCGAAGCGCGCAGAAAATTGAAGGAAGAGAAGAAGGCACAGAAGAAGGCCAACCAAAAGGAGAAGAAGAAGGCCAAGGACGCTGCCAGGAAGGCGAAGGAGGTCGAGCAAAAATCCAAGCAGGACCAAACATCTACCGCCGAGGTTGCGCAAGAATCAGAGTCCGCCCCTGCCAGCAAAAACGATGACAACGAAGTTGAGGCTGAGGATAGCGATGAGAGCGACGCTGCCGAGGGCGTTGTTCCCGAGGAGGGACTCTCACTCGAGTTCAACGTAGAACCCGAGTCCTCTTCTGCATCGACTCCCAATTCCTCTGGCTTTGATGCGTCCAATCCCCAGTCCGGCATCTCTTCCATCTCCTCCGTCGCCCCTTCGACCGATGTCCCCAAGTCCTCCACCTCCAACGACCTCAAGCCCCTCAAGGCCACTTCCGAACAGTTGAAACAGCGGCTTCAGAAGCGCCTGGACGAGCTCCGGGCTGCCCGTCACGCTGATGGATTGAATGGCAAGCCCGCCCGCAACCGCCAAGAGCTCATTGAAGCGCGCCGACAAAAAGCCGAGCAGCGCAAAGCGCACAAGAAGGAGCTGCGTCAGAAGGCCCGCGAGGAGGAACAACGGCTGAAGGACGAGGCCATGGCCCGCCGCTTCTCTCCCGGCGGATCTGGCTCCCTTCTCGCCTCTCCTCGCTCCCCTGCAGACTCGGTTGGCTCTTCCAGCAATGCGAACTACTCCTTCGGTCGGGTCGTCTTCGGCGACGGCCAGCACGCCGACCCCACTCTCCAGAACGTCCGCGATCAGCCCAAGCGGCAGGGTGCTCACCACGACCCGGCCGCCGCCCTCAAGGCTGTCGAAGCCAAGAAGGCCCGGCTGGCGTCCATGGACGATGAGCGGCGGGCCGACATCGAGGAGAAGGACATGTGGCTGAACGCGAAGAAGCGTGCCCACGGCGAGCGGGTCCGCGACGATACCTCGCTGCTGAAGAAGGCCCTCAAGCGCAAGGAGACGGCCAAGAAGAAGTCCGAACGCGAGTGGCGGGAGCGGATCGACGCCGTCAAGCACGGCAAGGACATGCGCCAGCAGAAGCGCGAGGAGAACCTCCGCAAGCGCCGCGAGGAGAAGGGAGGCAACAAGGGCAAGAAGAAGCCCGCCGCTGGCGGAGGCAAGAAGAAGGCCAGACCGGGCTTCGAAGGTAGCTTCAAGGCCAAGGCTGGTGGTGGCGGTGGGAAGAAGAAATAAGTGAACTGGACTTAGGTAGTCCTCAGCTCAGCTTCGCCTTTGCCCTTCCTTCTCCGACCCTCCCTTCTTCTTACCATTTCCGTTTCCCTCTCGCCCTCCCTCCTCTATTACCCTCCATACCTTGACTGAGCGGTGATCCTCCCCGGTGATGATCCGTCGTCGTCGTTCCTTCCCAAGTATGTAATATCATCTACTACCTTACACCCTACCCTACCCACCACCACTACGCGATACCTTACCTACTCCTTCAATCCTCTCCCCCCACCACCACCTTCGATTTCTCGAATATAAACAGGAGACGGAAGGAGCAAGGACGAATCATCATCATCATCAAAAACCTAAAAAGAGAGACAAAGCAGAGATGTGTGTGTTCTTTTTTTTTTTTTTTTTTCAAAAAAGTTATTTTAAAAAAGGGAATGGGTTGCGTGTTGTTGAGTGCGGGTCATCATCTGGAGATATGGTGTTCGGGGAGTTCATTAACATTCTAAACTCTGGGGGGATTTTTATTTTACTCATTTACTCATTTCTTTGTTCATTCTTGTCCTCCAAAGTTATGTGCATATGTGCATAGGCAGCGTTTCTTATACTTCTTCGAAACACATTTGTTGATACAAATTTGATACAATCTGGTTTCCCATTCAGGAATGACTGACTGATCCTCCGCTGTATGGATTCTTTCGTCTGTCTAGAACAAAGGAAAAGAATACTTCTTCGATTTGAAAATCCCTAGGAAAAAAAGAACCGGAAACAGCAGTGTAGGTAAACAGACACATATAATCGAGACATGCAGATAAGATAAATATCCTTCGACATCGAAGACACACAATAGCAGACAAGACCAGAGAGTACCAGAGCCGGGATATTTCCAGGCAACTGCAGAGGACACCCCTCTGGGAGTGAGCCCGACAAATACAGGTGAGAAATCGGGTTGGGGTAGGGTTGCGAGCGTTAGTTTATGTACAAGGTGGGTAGTGGAAGGCTAGAGCGGCCGAGTCAACCCGCCGTGAGGAGCGACCGCCCTACTCTTCCACTTTCTCAATAATTTGAAAACAACATTCCCTTTTCTTCTTAGTGCTTGAACCTCTCGAGCATTCCGACAAATGGGAGCGCATACTCTCGTCAAGATCCAACTCCTCATGTCGGAAGATGGCTTAAAATCGTCTTCTAACACCAAAAGCAGCTTAACGATAAGGAGCATCGGCTCTGGCGGCAGCGGCAATCTCAGGTTCCCACTTGTCACCATTGGCAAGGAGCTTCTCCTTGTTGTACAGCAGCTCCTCACGGGTCTCAGTGGCGTATTCAGCGTTGGAGGCTAAAAGTGAAGGTCGGTCAGTCACGCGTCCCGACGATTAGATCCAAGAGTGACTGAGAAGGGCAAACTCACTCTCAACAATAGCGTCAACGGGGCAACTCTCCTGGCAGTAGCCACAGTAGATGCACTTGGTCATATCGATATCATAACGGGTCGTCCGACGGCTTCCGTCCTCACGCTCCTCGGCTTCGATGGTGATGGCCTGGGCCGGGCAGATGGCCTCACAGAGCTTGCAGGCAATGCAGCGCTCCTCACCGGTGGGGTAGCGACGCAGGGCGTGCTCACCGCGGAAACGAGGGGAGATGGGACCCTTTTCGAAAGGGTACATGATGGTGTAACTGTCGAGGTTTCTTCGCGTTAGCGGATGGTCCGGGTCCACGAGGGGGAGCTCCCGCAGAGGGAGGAGCAACAGCTCAATTGACGTTAAAGTCGTGGTATGATCGGGCTTAAGTGGCTAGCCGTCGAGGTTCGGCCTAGCGGGAAGCTTGCGAAGGCAGGGTGGCACCTACGGAGGTCTGAAGAACTGCTCCAGCACGACGTACATGCCGCGCATCAGCTCGGCCATGAGGAAGTACTTGGTGGCCTTGTCGAGGGCAGACTCAGTGGACTGGTCCCATTTCTGCGGAGGGGGCAAGCGGAAGCCCGGTTGGGGAGGACCAGCTGGCGTAGCTGCGCGGGCGACTGAGGAGGAGAAGTTTGCGATGGAGCCGATGGGGGTAGGACGGAGAGCGAAAGGCGATGGGCGGGAATAGGCCAGAAGCCTGGCGACAGACTTGGTGGAGGCCATGGCGAGTAGGAATTATCCTTTTGGGGGGGGGGGATAGGATGAGGGGGAGGGGAGAGGAGGTGTCTGGAATTGAAGGAGGGAGGTTCAAATGTGGTGGTCACCGTGCCTTCCCAGCAAGTTCCAGTCAGTCAGTCAGTTTTGGTTCAGTTTGCACTCTTCCAAAATGAATTGGGCTTAGGTCATGGCTTTCTCCTTCCCGTTGATTGGCCGGCGGCAGGATTTTGCTGCTCCGAGCCGCAACAGAAACCATCGACTTATTCAGTCTCCATCTCAACCCAGCCCAGAGTTCACTCACTCCCTCCATCTGCTATTCCTATCACTTTCAATCAACCTCTTCTCCATTCTCCCTCATCCCCCCCACCCCCACACTTCTTTCCTCCTAATTTATTCCCATTCGGGTACTCTCACATAAACTCATCATGTTCCGCTCCGCTGTCGTCCGCTCCCTCCGGGCCTCTGTCCCTCGTGCCGTCAAGACTTCGGCTCCCTTCCAGATCCGTAGCTCTGCTGTCGCTCGCCCGGCTCAATTCGCTCCTCGCTTCGCCTACCAGGGTGTCCGTCTCTACTCCGCTCCTGCCGGTCTCAACAAGGAGGAGGTCGAGGGCCGCATTGTCAACCTGTTGAAGAACTTCGACAAGGTGCGTCAAGTCACATTCCAAGGCGGCGGATGCAGGTCCATCAGCTTGTTGTTTCGCATCGCCGAGCTTTATCAAAATGGCATGAACTGACGTGTCTTGATTCAATGCGCTTTAGGTTTCCGACGCCAGCAAGGTTAGTGATTCGAGTCGATACCCGCTGGGCTCCGGCTTCCGGCGAAAATCCCTCGGTAAAAGGTCCATGTTTTTAACGATATATAACTGGTAGATCAACGCCGCTTCGCACTTCACGAACGATCTCGGTCTGGACAGCTTGGATACCGTTGAGGTCGTCATGGCCATCGAGGAGGTACGGCTGCCGCATCTAGTTCGCCTCGATCGCGCGCTTACTGACATGCCTGCAGGAATTCAGCATTGAGATCCCCGACAAGGAGGCCGACTCCATCCACAGCGGTAAGTCATTACAAAAATCGAAGAGAATTTCCCGGAATCGAGAACTGATCGCCTTCCGCTACAGTCGACAAGGCTGTTGAGTACATTCTTGCCCAGCCCGATGGTGAGTTACCCCTCTTCTCCTTCTTATCTCATTATCGCAGAGCTTGCGACTAACATGTCTGCAGCTCACTAAATACCCGTGTAATGAGGAACCGGGAAGTTGTTGGAGGATTAGAATAGAAGAAATCGAAAGGGGATGATGGCGTGCATCTACAGGAAACTCGCCACTGCGGAGACTCCGGGTAGCTGGGGATGCTACCCTGTATGCTGATACATGCCTGTGCTCTTTCATACTCTACTATATCGTGTATATCACCTTTGGGAATGCCGTTCTGACCGATATGATACTTTGTTGGGTCTTCGTCGCGTAGCGCGTGTAAATGATCTCTCGATCGCCTGTAAACTTGAGTAGAGCGAGAAGTGAAAAGCTGCCATTGAACCAGGCTCAAAGCTGTATATGACGAGCGAAAACCACCGAGAGCTGTAGAATGTCGAGGGCAAAGACAGATTAGAGTCATTTTCCATATTGAAAGGTAATTTGAATCTGATATGATGCGATCCGGGGGAGATGACGTGGAGTGACGGGGGGCCGATATGGAGAATGTCGAAGGAGACCGACACGGTGGACGTGGTAGTTGTCTTTGCAAGGCAGATATTATAGCTGGACAGGTCTTTACTCTGAAACTGCAACGTGTCATATCATCAATTGAATGTCTATAAGTGCCAAGGTCATTGTTAAGGAAGTGAAGACAGGCCGATTGTCTAAAGCGTTGCGGGCAATTCCGTCACCGGAGGAGCAACACTAAAAGCAGCCGCGACAAGAGCTGATGGCCGGACCACGAAGCGCCAGATAGTCTTTAAAAAAGTACCGAATGAAATGGAGAAAAATAATTGAGTACTCTTTCTGTCAGACGGACAACTGAGAATCTTGTCTCTTTTTCCTTTCTTCTTCTCTTCTCGCATTGCTGGGAAATCATCCATCTCCAACGAAAGTAATTGTTGAGTGGTGCTTTTTGACTCTGGGCCGATTGACTCCTTTATTCGGCCATTTGCACCTCTCTCAGCTCTCTCTCTGTGTCTGTCCGATCTTCTCTTCCACTCCACCCTTCTCTTCCCCCCTCCCTCCCCTCCCCCCTCCCTCCCCCTGGGATCATTTCCCGCCTAAGTTGGTTAAGCCATAGTTAATCCCGTCTCTCATCTCGGCTTCTTCTTCCCTTTTCGATCATTCCGATTTTCTACAATTCTTTCGCCCCCCAAACCTCTCAAAGGGGTCGGACTCAATATACAATCAATCAATCGGTTCATGTCGCAGGCGATACCGGCATAGACCTCATTCCTGGCGTGTGCACCTTTCCAACACGATCTAACGCCCCTCCCTTCATTCGCCCTCAAGCCTTTGATCTCTCACCCTCCCCGCTTCCGGCCAAACTCACCACTTCCACCTTCCCCCCCACTCCCCCCCCCAAACGCACCGTTCGATAAATACTCATGGCCTCAGCCGGGGGCTTGACTCGCCGGAGAGGTGGCGGTCGAGTCGCTGGCGCAGAAGACAATGATGACAGCAGAGTCTCTTCGCCCATATCGAGAAACGGTTCGTCGCTGGACAACCGCGTCCCCGAAACGTCATTCACCAGCGCCGAAAATGGTCATAAGATCGCGTTCGACCCCCGAGACATCAGCGAAACGGAGGAGCGCAGCAAACAGCCTAAGCTCACCCTGATGGAGGAGGTACTTCTACTGGGATTGAAAGATAAACAGGTTGGGCACTTTCCCTTGTGATCCTTATCTCGGCTTTTGTTTTTGTGGGGCGATCGATATACGGGGCGATGTCTCAATTGCTGACCGCGGCCTTTTCATGTCGGTATTGTAGGGCTACCTTTCGTTCTGGAATGAGAACATCTCCTACGCCCTGCGAGGGTGCATCGTGATCGAACTGGCCCTCCGCGGTCGCATCAGCATGCAGAAGGATTCCTCTCGACGACGTTTCCCCTTGGCCGATCGGGTGATCGAGGTGATCGATGATACGCTGACGGGTGAGGTCTTGCTGGACGAGGCGTTGAAAATAATGAAGTCGAGCGAGAAGATGAGTGTCAACTCCTGGATCGATCTACTGAGCGGTGCGTACAATGGAATTCTGTTATTCTCTGGGCTGACATCGACAAAACTGATCTGTTGGAACCAGGTGAAACATGGAACTTGATGAAGATTGGTTACCAGCTGAAGCAAGTGCGCGAACGTCTCGCCAAGGGCTTGGTCGACAAGGGCATCCTGCGCACCGAGAAACGCAACTTCCTCCTCTTTGATATGGCTACACACCCCGTGGCTGACGGCGGCGCCAAGGACGACCTCCACCGCCGTGTCCGCAACATCTGCAGCAGTCGCACCGTCATCCTTCCCGGCAACGCCTGGCTTCCCGAGGACGCCGAATTCCGCTACCTGCGGACGATCACCATGGTATGCGCCGCGTATGCGGCCAATGTTCTGGAGAATGCGCTGGTCACAATGAGCCACGAGGCTCGGGAACGGGCATTTGCGCAGGTGGATGAGTTGTTGGCCGAGTACTCGCAGTGGCCGTTCGGCCGGAGGGCAGGTGGCTCGCAAGCCATCGGAGCCAATCTGGCGCAGGCCATTAATGACGAGGTGAACAAGGCTAAGGACAAAGAGCTCCAGTTGGAGGTACGTACAGCCACTCATTGAATTTGGAACTGCCCCGATAGCTGACTTCCTTTTGACACAGATTGTGGCGGCATGTTTGAGCGTTTTCACTAGACTTGATTCTCTACTGTAACAGGCTTTTTCTTATTCCCATATCCCTCCCGCCCTCTGCTCCAGCCTCCCTTCCCAGCTCTATTTCATTTCCCAATGTCGTCTACTACTGATACTACCAACTTTCGTCGTCTTTCTCTCTCCGAGAATGAGAAAAGCATATCAACATTGCCTCCACCTAGGGACTTGGCCTGTTTTTTTTTCTTTTCCTTCTTATTCACAGTTTTGGCAGTACTATTACCGGCGTACCGGGTTGGATCTCTCGCAGAAGTGATATGACGTTTTTGTGTGTTGTGTGTCGAACCTGCCGTGCTGCGAAGCGGTGACCCGTTGCATTGAACCTTTGTGTTTGTACGAGAGAATACTTCTTTACTGATTTCGATCTTTCTTCATTGAAAATGATTCTTTTCACGTACTTTTGGCCGGATGGGATAATCCAGTCTATGACCAAATCTGCTTGTTTATTGTCTCTCTTCTCCTTGTTCGGTCAGCGCCCATCTTTTTCGAACTTCATTCCTGCCCAGCACCCGTTGGTGACGGTGACACAGCCTCGGTATCAACACGCTCTGCCCGCTAGATGAAACGTTGACAGTCCCAAAACATCCCCCCTTGGAACCAGGTAGTTTATGCAGTGGACGGACTCATGTTCAATTTCGAATCCAACCGTCGTGCTTGTGCATGGGTACCGTAACGCACACCCTTCGCAGCAGAGTACCGATTTACCTCCATACCTTTGATAGATACAATTGTATAATACGAGATCGCGTATCTAGTCTAGAATAACCGCCCTCCTTCGTTTCGAGGCCATTCCCATGCTCGTCGACGTCGATTGGGCGCAAGGTGAAAGGGTCAGTGGCACATTTGTATGGTGAATGGTACCTTCATAGCATAGACCCCGCCGAAGCCTTCCGATGAATACCGGCATACGGCCCCTCATTGTGCAAATCGGGATATACTTCGGTAAGTAGGTCTGGGTTCAGGTCATGCGGTGTACTGTGGTCTACGACTGCGTAGCTCTCTTATGTGGGTTGTTTATAGAGGTGAGGAGAGCGCCGTCGGGTGCAACCAGTGATTATAACGCAAACACCTGTGGCATATGGCTGACTAAAGCTTTATCGTATATGTGGTGCTATAGTACAGATGATGAATCTCTGAGTAAGAGGGAGTAAGAGGAAAAACAGGCAAATCAAGGCTGCAACGAAGAGAGTAAAAATACAAGGCCAATTGGAAGAAATCATAATGGCATATCACCACGAGATGAAGGATTCAAAATCAGTTGACATGAATTACCATCATGCCGCCTCGTCGTCCACCGCCGGCGCCGGCCGCTCCCGAAGCCAGCATGTCGGCTCCTCTCTCGATATCGTGGATGCTTTCCACGCGGCCTCGGATTACATCACTCTCCACTAGCTGAGCGATGCGCTCCAGCGCCTCTCCATCTGGCCGCACCGCAACGAAGCGGCTGAGGACACCGTTTTGGGGCGGTCCGGCGTTGCCCTCGGAATCCCGGTTCTGCGCAGGCGTCGAGTCCACAGCAGTCACGACGACACCATTGGACTTGACCACGCGCGGAGAGTGGGCTTGTTGGAACATTTGGCGGCCGGCGCAGTCGATGACGAGGTCGACTGGGGCCCAGCGATTCTGGCGGAAGATGGCCCCTAGGTCATAATCTTGAGGCAAAGGAAGAGGAGCATAGAGGATCTCGTCAATATCATACTCTTGTCGCAAGTAGTCCTCCTGGTCCTGGGCATCACAGGTTGCACAGACCCAAGGCAGTTGGTTGGGGAACAGTGTCCGTGACCGGAGTAGCTGCAGTGCCTGGGCACCAACTTCGCTATTCCGCGAATTCGTAACCAGGATCCGTAATTGTCGTTTCATTTCCTTGACATCCTCGGGAACAAACCCGGCGTACGTGAAGAGAGACTGCCAAGCTGTGAGTGCAGGCAGAGGAATTGCGGCTGCCTCCGCAGCACTGATATTGTTAGGTTTCAAAGCGATCTCATCCTCTGAAGCGACGACGTAATCTGCCGCGGCACCGTCACGGGTGTAATTGATCAGGCCAAATACGACGTCGCCGACCTTGAATTTGGGGCCGCCTGGATTCCGGTGGTCATGCTTGGGCGTATCAACAACTGTACCACAGAAGCAATGCAGAGGAATCTGAGGTATGGATTTAGACGGGTTCAGGACGGTAGCTAGTCGTAGTTCATCGTGGGAGAAAGCTGCCGTTCTAACCTTGATAAGGTATTCATTCCCAGATGGCATTGGCGTCTGGAATCCAGAATCGAACTCGACGCAAGAGTCTACCCTGGGAGCATCCAGAGAAGTGAGGTCGGTGATAGCCGTTGATGCTGGTCGATAGTATAGTGCTCTCATCGTAGATGGCACTGTTGTTTGCTCGTCCATTGTGGTCGATTTGCGGTTCTCTTGCTAGACGGTACCAGCCGAGTTGGAAAAGTTATGATGTGATGCAGCGGCGAAATATGCTCAATGAGGCCGGCGCAAGCAGTCAGCCAACATAATATAAGAGAAAGAGAAGCAACACTATTCCGTGGTTTCGCCGAATGACAAGGAGTAGATCGAGCGGGGTTTGTTCCGATCGCAGATTTTAAGGATGGACCGCTGCAGCCACAAGCGCGGGCCTTGACATTTTGGTGACATCCTACCATTGACGTAACCCGAGTATAAACACGCTTATATCAGCAACCTTTTGTGATGAGTCAACATCTCGTTCGAAGTTCATTCGACATCTCGACATCACTGAATCGCCCGATCATTCAGTATCGGTTGAGATTTCCTCGAGAGGCCCGAGCATCTTATGGCTTATTCCCAGCTCGTCCACGAGGTGCTCTACCTCCGCAGGATCTTCGAAAATCTTCCATTTATGGTCGGGCACACCGTCAAATGCAGCTCCAAATCTCTCCGGCGAATTCTGCTCATCCAAATGGGGAACATCAGTGACCTTTCTGATCCAGATTGCCTGAATCCAATTTGGATGCCTCTTGTAGAGCTCAGCATAGGCCTCTGGATCCTTCTGAGTCGAGTCACCAATGCAAAGCACCTTGCGCTGGGGGAACCAGCCATGAATTTTTTCTGCACGGTTCACCTTATATTCCATAGTGTTGACAGTGAACGATTTAACTAGCTCGCTTACATCTAGCCAAGATGTATCCCGGAGGATCAGGGTCCCCGGGTTGAAATAGGTGTGAATAAAGCCGTGCAAGAACGGATACAGGTTGTATGGAGAAGCGGAAAGGTAAAACCACGCAGGCGTAAGGTCATGTTGAAGCCTCGCATAAAGCTGAGGCATTCCAACAATCGGCTTGGGCTCCTCCACGAAAGTTGTGCGAAGGATACCGGTTGACTCAGAGGTCTTGGTGTACTTGATAGTATCGTCAATGTCGGAAATGACAAGCCAACCCTCCGCACTGGCGTACGTCGTGCTCATAGTCACCTCGCTTGCCCAGCCGCGAAGGTACGAGCGTAGTTTCGTCCCGTCCGTAATGTGGCGACTGTTAACTCCCACCGTTTGGCTGATAATGCCGCTGTCATCCGTAGGCCCAAGCTGATGAATTTGAGTCGCATTGTTGGGCAAGGGTGTTTCCAAAATCATCAGGTGCGCAGGTGTTGTGTGATGTAGAAATGGCTGCAGTCGCTCCGCTATTCGATGACGAGTCTCTTGATCTGTGCCAATTTCTCCGTCCAGTCCGATGAGGTCTGCAACCATGGCCACGAGTTTACTTAGGTCCTTCCTGCTGTCTCTCTGGAATACACAGGCAACAACCTCTGCCCGCCATAGGTTGAGCTCGGTTGAATCAGATATCGGTGGCTGGTATGCTGTGTTGTCGAACAGCCAAACGGTATGGTCGCGTTCATTTGCCATTTGTATTGCAGGCGAAGGCTTTGCCAGAAAGGAGACTAATAATTGCAACATGGCTGAATCCCGTTTCCATGCATGAGCCACCTTGGCCACTCGCTGAAGTACTGAAGGGGGTTTGGAGTGTGAGTCGGAGCCCATCTTGAATGCGAGGTGACTTTTTTGAAGATCAACTATAAATAAGAGATAGGTTTATTATCGCTGAACTTGACAGATGGAATGCAGCAGTGTAGGATGTACTCCCAAGCACAGATAATCGGTATTGAATGTGAAGTATCACTCGGGACGGTGTCCTAATATATAGGGCCACAGAGTGCGCCTGATCTGGAAGACTAGATCGGTCATATCCCAAGCCACAAGGCAGTGAAGCCCTTAGTCAAGTCAAGTAAGCTAATCTGAGTCATGCTTTGGTCAGTCAGTCAGAAGAGTAGATCATAAGGCGGAATGTATCTTGTGGGGTTCCTGGTCGCGAGAACCACACATATTGAAAGGCGCTTCGACTGCATCGATACAAATAAATTGCCGCTTGGCGCCCGCGTCAGCCTGCAAGGGCTTGTGACCCATCAGAGCTCGAGGCTCAGCGGCTGACCGCTGACGATCTTCTCTTGCGTGCCAATGAACCGGCCATTTGCCCCGGTCAGACGCAGGGAATGTGCAGGAACTGGGGTAGAGGTCAACCTTGGTCACTAGACATGTAACGGATGCCGGCCCGGTGGAAGTCGGATCACCTTCCTCCAAGAATAGATTTCTTAACACATCGTAGCTAGCGCTCTATTGTGTCTCCGCTGAGTTTACGCAGTATTGGCAGAGTCGCCAACATGCATGCCGGCGAACTAGAGATGCGGCGAACATTGCCTTCCATGACTGTTCGTTGCCTTGTGAGTCGTTCATTGCAGGGTTGCAGTCACAGTAAGGTATGGGCTAACAGGGATGCAGTCTCCGCCTGAAACATTATGAAGCAGTGCTATGGCGTGTAGCCCACCAGGTAGGCACAACACAAGTCTGATTGTTCGAGGAGGGATGTAGTCAGAGAGGAACGATGATGCGGAGGGAGTTGGTAGAACAAAGTATGAGTATGTACAGTACAGTAAGCTCAGAGACGCGGCGCGGTTCGGGTCAGTGGGGTTACCTGTTTGGGTAATCAGATTTGGCCTCCTTACCTTCCCCTTCTTGGGGACAAGACTTTGCAGCCATATTAAGGCTACTCAGGAACAAGCCAGGCAAGTCGGCAACTTCATCTGCCATCTACAACCCGTGTCGAAATAGTCAATGATTAAGTACTTTCGTTTCTACTTTCTTCTCAACGTATCAGAAAGATAAAGCTTGTTACTGGTGTGCTGACATGCCACAATCTGGGTTGTACACAATTACGTGCTCGCCTATTCTCTGCCGCGTCTCCATATCAATATCGCAATTCACAACCTAGTAGCATGTTGGCTATATGATCATAGCATACTCTAGATCAAAAACTAGCAATTGCCGCCATGTCAGATCAAACCTTGTTCCAGACTACATACAACGCGCGTACTGGACACGTCTATACACGAAAAAAAGTCTCCGATGAGCCCCAACAGTTCAAACGGAAAAAGGCATCATCTTATTCGGAACTCATTGATCGCATGCCGATACCAAAACCGAAAAGGATCCACGAGGTTGTTGACCGGAACAGTGGTCAGGTGTACTTGGAGTCCTTTAAGGAGCCTTCCTTGGCCTCTTCTAAGGGGGCGTCTTGGGTCCATGAGACGCCTTTCCTGCCTGAAGGATGGGACAAGCAACCCATTGCGCGTGGTGCACCTTCATTGATGCATGCGGCAACGAGACAAGCTCTGTCGGACCAAAGAAATCTTCGACCCGAGCTGTTTGCCTCCGTGCCATGGCGGCTCGCAAAGTCTTTGTGGGATATACTTGGCCAGTGGTAAGAGGTGTCCATGCTCCCTGAACAGCTACGAAATCCTAATTCCCTCGCGCTCAAAGCAACAAACAGACTACATATGCCTGGAAAATATTCGCAACGGCATATCCGGAGGAGTTCGGTAAGATTGCGTCGCACCGTGCTATGAAGATCGAGAGCCCCCTCATGCCAATGCAGGACTACTTGAGTCTGGTCAAAGGTGACTCGTTGAGCTGGGGGGCAATCTTGACTCTGGCTGCCACACATGCTCGAGTTCCTGATCTCGTAGGCCTGGCTAACATCCCCAATCTCATTGCCCTGGAGATTGCCACGCCACTGCAGTATGAAGGCGTCCAGGACGAAAGCGAGGCGCCTATGGTTGATCTCGATGATCGAGTTGTGCGGTCCTGGAGTGAGTTGGCACAAAACTCCGCGGGATTCGCAGCCCTGAGGGTTCTGATGTTGCAATTCCAGTCTAACATCTCATCTGTCGCACTGCGTTACCTCCGTGACTTGCCAGCACTGCAGTTTCTGGTGCTGAATGGGTGTCCTGCTATTCCAGCCGGCGCTGCGGTTGGGTTTGAGTTAGAGGGCTGGGCTGTTGTGGATATGGGCGAAGTGCCGAAATCTTTGCAGAGCATCTACCAGAAGACGCTGGAGATTGATGGGGCAGAGAAGTCGACCTTCCCTGTTGATGCCCCTACCTTCTCTCTTCAAGTTGGGCAGAAAACACTTAAGGTCTTACGCGGAACCTCGAAGAAAACCGTTGGCTATAATCCCATTTGTCTTCGTCGCATCAAGGATTCTGGCGGTCCGCCATATAAGAAACAAAAAACCACTCCCGATCAAAAGCATGCCGGGCCCAAACGGGCAGTGATGAAAGAGCGCAAATTAAAAGATCTTGGGGGTCTGCTGCAGGACTTTCTCTAGCTGGAGTGGATACACGTGATGGATGATGTATGATGTCACTTGCAGGAGACAGGCGCATGAGAGCTCTCTGGCTCGTACCTGTACGGCTGCAAGCGTGCGGGTGCCTGGTGATCGTGCAAATGATCTGCATGTACTTCTTTGGCTTTCAAGTCTTCATTCAGCTTCCTGTGAGCTCTCTGTCCATGGAAGTATAACATGGATGCCCCAGGCCTCAGTCGGCCTGAAGATACAATGACGCGGGCATGACCAGCGGGAAGACGCTGATTGGCTGACAGCCGCCGCCTCCCCGCGCTACTCCCGACCGGTTGACGCCCGTTGTTCCCCGCCTTGTGATTGTGACTCGATTCAATGACTCCATCGTCCCCAGTCGACGATTTCCTTTCTTTTCTTTTCTGACTGTGCGTCTTGGCTTATCGCCGTTGACAGGCTATTCTGATACCTGATATCTGATTCGCTTTCTCCGTCGGTGTCTCCAGCAGAAGTACTGTACCTACTGCATCTGACCCCGAAAGTTAGGCATCGCCTGCCTCCGAGCTCCCTTTACTGGTTTACCCCTCTTCGACCACACCCCACGATGGCCGACCATCCTGTAGATGCGACGGCGGAGAATGATTCCAGTGGATCGAATGTCGCATCGCCCCGCTCCAGCACAGATTCCCGGACTACTTCTGTGGGCAACCGATCTCTCCGACTTTCATCTCACGCGTCCGGTCACCAGCACCGCCAAAGCATGAGCGAGAGCCTTCGCGGAACTCCTGGGTCTCCGAGGGCTCGACGACAACCATCACTCACCCAGTCCGCCATCCAGAGCCTCATTGATAACCCTCCGGCTCCAAGCAATGTCAACTCTGCATTTGCCGGTCGCGACTGGCGGGAAATCCAGATTGGCGAGCTTGTCAGTCCGAACGACTTGAGATTCGTGGAGGTCGATACCGGGATTGAAGAAGCGACGAATGTAAGCGGCCAGGCAATATCTCTATCGGTTTTCTTTTTTTTTCTTTCCTTTTGTCTTGTGATTTTTCCTTCTTTCTTGTTTCTTCCCAAGGTTTCTTTTCTTTTTTCTTATCAGAAGGACTGACAAGCATAGATCTTGATCGATACCGCAGCTCCGGTGCTCTTGATCCGAGAAACGCCTGACCAGAAGTCTGCCGTGGGCACTTTCGACTACTCCGATCTCAATGCATACCTTCTGTTGGCGGCAGGACTGACGCAACCCGATGAAACGTTATTGGCATCGTACGAAGAACTAGCCCGAAAGGCGAAACAGGGCATCAAGATTCCGCTGAAGGATGTGAAGGATTTGGGAAGGAAAGAACCGCTGACAACGCTGCCTGCCTCGGCCAACGTGATGACGGCCGTGCAGACTTTCGGGGGAGGCGTGCACCGCGTCGTGGTAGTCGATGAACAAAAGGATAGGGAAGTGATGGGCATCTTCAGTCAATACCGGTTGGTCAAGTTTCTCTGGGAGAACGGACGTAGCTTCCCGGTGATTGACCAGCTGTATCCCCAATCCTTGCATGAGCTGGGAATTGGTTCGCGCGAGGTCATCTCAATAAAGTATGTTCCATTGTCAGATGTGAGTAGTACGTACTGACATGTTCGTTGCAGTGGGGACCGGCCGCTCTGCGAAGCCCTTCAGGTCATGAATGACGAGGGCGTTTCTTCAATCGCCGTGGTGGACAACCATTTCAATGTGGTGGGCAACATCTCAACAACCGATGTCAAGGTATGTTTTATTGTACTCGAATAGCACAAGCGTCGCTGACCTCGATAGCTGCTCACCCGGTCTTCCTCACTCCCACTGCTACGCAACACCTGCACGCATTTCATTTCCGTTATTCTGTCTACACGTGGCCTGGAAGAAGGCAAGGACTCATTTCCAGTGTTCCACGTAAACCCGACCTCGACTCTAGCACATACCGTGGCCAAGGTGGTTGCAACCAAGTCTCACCGGTAAGCTAAGTAGTATCTGCTCCAGACAGTGCCCAGCCTGACTGTGGATCGTAATACAGCCTCTGGGTCACCGATCCCCTGTCGCCCGCCTCGTCAGGGCCCCCGACCCCATCTCATTCTTCCGTGCACATTCCTCTTCCGACGACTACGCAATCTCCGCCGCAGACCCCCGCGATCGGCAGCAATCCGAGCCTACAGGCCCCGAATTTCAGCTCTGCGCACTTGCCAAGCCCGCCCCAGTCGTTCCTCGGCGCGACAACCATGGTGCCATCGATCCCTGCGTCAGCTCTGCCGGGGGCGCGGCTCTCGGGACGCCTGGTGGGGGTGGTGAGTTTGACGGATATTCTGAACCTGCAGGCCCGGGCGAGCGGGCTCAGTCCGGCCGATCCAGCGGAGAGTCGGAGTCGACGTCGCCGGAGCAGCAGCTCGAGTGTAAGTGTGCGACGCAGTGGGGAGATTGGGCGGGAGTTGTTCAGTGGGAGGATTGTATAGGTGAGTATGAAGGGATGCAGATGCAACTAAGACGGACCTTGGCTTCACTTCATTATTTGTTTTTTAATCAGCTTAGCCATCATCAAGTGACAATACATACACGGATGTCCATCCGAATAACTGGGTCAGATGTACCTCTATCGCATGTAGCCGATAATACGTTACTGAAAACCATCGCTCCTTGCCCTTGAACACCCGAGGTAGCGGGATTCGCCTCCCACTCACCATCAGGCCATCCATAAACATCTACAGTATAGTACCTAGCTAGCTAGACTCCATTAGAAATCTCCGACAAAGCTCCGAAGCAGTATACCCTGGAACCGGGGAGGGGAGAGGTGTGGTGGGGGGGGGAGGGGGGGGCCAACCAGAAGTACTGCCCGAATCCTCCCATCCCATCTTCACCCTCGGCAATCAAACAGCAATCGAGAGTAATTAAACAACAAGAGGAAGAACAAGAATAAGAACAAAAGGGCCCAATGGCAAATAGATCAGACTTCACTCACTATAGTACCTTCGCCCCTTCGCCCCTTCGCCCTTAAGCCTTAAGATCAATGCATGTGCATATGCATGTGACAGTGTACGACAATCGATCGATCAATCCAACCATCCATCCAAAACAATCAATTAGTCAGTCAGTCAGCTGTCGGCCATCCCCGAGCAGAAGTCTCTTTTAGCTAGCGAGCGAGTGAGCATCTCCGATTTCTCAATAATTTGGACAATTTGAGCGAGCAAGCGAGCAGCAAGAGACAGATGATAGAGTTTCAGGGTTATCCGTGGGAAAGATGAATCGATAAATCCTCCTACTGTACTTCCTCCCGTGTTTCCCTTGCCCCTCCCTCGCCCCCTCCCCGCCGCCGCCGGCAAATCCACTTTTTTACTTTGGGTTACTACATGTAACGTAGGTAGTTCGCCTCCAGACCCTCAGTAGGTAGTTTGGTGAGTTAGTAAGGGGTGGGCTGGGGTTGGTTGTTCGGGTTTTGGGCAGAGAGAGAAGTCAGTAAGAGAGGTTTACGTGGGACGGGATGGGAAGGTAGAGGAGGGGGGGTCTGTGTGTTCTATCCAGTACATCAATGTACAGTACGGTGTTTGCTGGTGGTGGTGGTGGCGAAGTTAGGGGATTTTTTAGGTGTTGCTCGGGGTGAATATCGGGGATGAGTGTTCAGAAGAGGGGGTTGTATACGAGGTATGATCGAATAGGTAGGTAGACTGACAGAGAGGGGGGGGGAGGGATTGTTCGGGGATAGAGCTAGGAAGCGAGAGAGAGTATAGACGAGGGAGGACTGGACTGGACTGGACAGGACTGTATGTGCTTGGGTGATTCTAGACCATCAATCACCCGACTACGTACGCAGAAGAGGGAGACAAATCGAAGCGGAAGATGTTTCCCCAGGCCTATGCCCTGACTCTCGAACACCACCGAGTCAGATCATCCCTCCCTTACCATGAGTAAGTTCCTAGTCGACCTAGTTACTGAGTAGTAAAAGCCCTACACATACTGAGTCCTGTCATTTGATCCATAATAGATCGCTAAGCCTGACAAACCCTAAATCCCGAACACACTTCAGCCCACTCGTAACGAATCAGCCAGCTATGAATCAGTTGAGATTTCAAATTCCTGTTCCCCAAACGTCTCTCTCAAACTCAGTTTCGATTTTACCGAAGACATCAAACTATTGTGCGTTTATAGTCAGGCCCAGAACCCAGCTCACTAACCACTCATTGACCAAGAGGAAAACTACGCCCGACCCGCTTGCGTGCATTAGCCGGCGCCGTTATCAGACAGACATGTAAAGTAAATCAGTAATGCAGATACAAACCCTGTAATTACTAGCCCGCTGCAGCACAGCACAGACCAGAACCCAAATTAAATTTACGATCCACCCCGATGGATCCAATCAATCGACGTATCAGTCATTAGAGTTGAGAAGGAGGGATTGAACCATTAACCACCGAGTTCAAACCCACCCCCACACAAGCTTGGGAACGGGGCCACTGGCCAGCCCGCCCTGATCGTCCTCAAGACTTCGTCCAACTTGCACGTTCAAGTGTACAGTCAGTACATGTTACTGTACTCGTACCTAGCCATAGGTACATAAGTGAACTACACAGGCAGAATTGGACTACCTGTCTGATTTAGCCCGCAGTATCAGACCAGGTGAGACTTAACCAGACCGACAATCACATAGTACGTACAGTATGTAGTCCACAAGCAGAGACGACAACAAATCAAACACACAAACACACACACAGAATAAGCACTCTATCCCCGATAACCTCGCATTGCAGACAGAAGCTTAGTTACTCGTAGTTCCTCAGCACAGTAAACCCTTTGCAAAATCAGCATTCTCCTTTGGCATGCACACCATCTAAAATCCCAGATACAGCTGTGACTACAGACTGCAACGCCAAATCCCCAACCAACCACTAACCCTCTGAGAGAGCCCCAACGATTGAAGAAACAGCACGACCAAAAAAAAAAAATTCTGCAAAGTCCCGCAATATGCCACCATGACATAGGATGCAAGAACAATGCGAAATGATAATGGGAAGGGAAAGGTGAAAGAGATTTTTTTTGGGCGGCTTGCTAACTCAAAACTTCTCCAGATTTGATCGGCAAGGGATCGATTGATCGCTGTTTGCGGCTTGGCCGTCCTTCGATGTAACGCTGCGGGTGGGTGCAGTGGGTGTGTGCCTTGCCCTTGCTTGCCCTTTTCCCCACCCTTTTCCTCTAATTCCGTACAGACCAGAAGAAGAAACTCTTGTCTTTTCCACGGATTGGGCTTGTCCTGGATTCTGATCGAATTTGTTTGGATACATAGTCTGTAGTAAGATCGGGAGGTCTGACACCGGAAAAAAAAAGGGTTAGAAAACATAGGTAAGGCATCGTCTCTCATTATTTTGTACTAGTAGTAGTAGTAGTATCAGAAGTAGTAGTAGTTGAATCACTATATCCATCACGCATGTCCGTACCTGCTCGCAGATCGGATCACATCAACGCCATAGTCTTCGGGTATTGCTGTACTTCTCCACCTCCCCTCCTTGTGTACAAATTGTACAGATATAAGTCCAGCCCATGCACAAGCACTCCTGCCTCAAATCCTCCCAACCGATCAAGTAATAAGACAAATACTAAAAATATAGTCGGTAGAGTCGCAGAAAGAAGAGAAACCAACGAAACACGCATCAAGCACTGATGGGGTACTCTTCCAATGTGAAAAATTCGTCAAAACCCACATCCGCCTCCGGTAGCTGGCTGCCACTGCCCAATCCAAATGCGAAGCGGCTAAATTCATCATATTCGGGATCCAGATGATCAGCTTGGTATGTCACCTCCACACCCTCCTCCTTATTCAGGTCCAGTCCCCAAACACCACCGTTCTGCCCTGTGGAATGAGGGGAGTGTGGCGTACTCGGCGTAGGACATAAATCTGGCGTTGGGATAATAGGCTCGGCAGAAGACCCCATGTCCTGCCCACTGCCGCGCGGGGAGCTCATTTGCGACATTGTAGTGGTAGGCAGGCCGTGTGCTAGAACTGTTTGACCTGGCTCCGATCGGACGCGGTTGTGTTGGATCACATTAACCGGGCGGCTCATCGCCGGAGTTGGGGGAGTCACGGTAGCAGCAGCTGTGGTTGTTGTTCCTCCCACGGCAGGAGTGCCCATCAAAGGGGAAGCGGCCATGGTGTGGACTGGGATGACCGGTGCGGACGCCATGCGGTCTCTAAACTGCCGCACTGGCATCGCGGCCATCTCTCCTAGAGAGGCTGTAGGCTGCTGTAGCTGAGGTGATAGATAGCCTGCAGTCCAGGGCGACCGGAAGGGCTGCTGCGGGCCGAGTTGCTGCTGTTGGTGGGCGACGGGGGACCAGGTGGGTCCGCCCACCTGGGCAATGTAGGATGGCACTTGGCCCGCCGAGGTAGGAACAACGTTGGGATACGACGGCGACTGCGCAGCCCCGTCTAAATCAGGGGAGAGCACGTAGCTGCTAGGGTTCGCCGACAGCGGACTAGTCATTGGTCCGGGCTGCACCCTGCAGTCCTCTGCGATGGAAGATCGCAGCCCGGACAGATCAAGGCTCATCTTGCGTATGCCGTTGATCGAAGCGCGCGGATTCATATGTGCACTCGCAGCTCGCCGCTGATGCAGACCACCGCCGGGACGCGCACCATGCCAGGCGGCCATTAGGTTCCGGTTAAATTCGGCATGTAGCTGCATGGACTGAGCATGCAGCATTCGGTTGATCTTCTCTTGGTAGCGATCATCCACCTCTTCGTACATTGCCTCTCGCTCCACAATGTCTCTGCTGATGAGAAGAGCCTTGCCGGTGCGTTGCTTGTGCAGGCTGGAGGCCCGGTTGGCCGACTCAACGCGGGCATCGAGGCTTCTATCTTTCCGTCTCGAAGCTGCAATGAATGCTCTGATATCATTCAGCATAGAACAAGCCTCTTGAAGTCGGTGGTACTTACCGTTCCTGATTTTCCTCTTTCGTGCGAGGATTTGGGGCGACATCGAGGTCAATGCCAGGAGATCCCATTTTGAAGCAGTTTTTGAGAGTCAGGGAAACTAAAACTGTGTGGGGTGGTGAATGTAAGCCGAGAGGAATACTGCAGTCAGATGAAGGCTGTAGAGATAAATACAGGAGCCCTGGGGCTGAAGAAGAATAGACAACGATAGACGGGTGATACCTCGTCCAGAGCAGGGCTAGAAATAAGATAAAGAAAAAGTAAAGAGCAGCCAGCAGGAGAAATTAAATAGATGGTTGCCAAGGAGGGGCATCCTACGCTGCAAAGCGGACAACGGAGTGGTTCAGGCCGAGAACCTACTGTACTTGACTACCGGAAATGCAAGCTGGGGAATCCCAAGCTGACAGGCGAAGAGACGCCCGAGTCCAGACAGGATCAGCCAGAGAGCAACCATAGCCAAGGCTGGGACTCTCCCCGGGGGGGGGGGGGTGGGGGGTGGTCTGGCGAGTTCTCAAAGTCTGCTGAAACCATGGGACGGGCAACAGCTAGAGTTCTCTGCGGAGCTGGGTCTGAGCATCCTGGACAGCTGGGGGAGTCCATATCCATGGGAAGACCTGAAGTCACTCCCAGTCGTTCTGAAGGCAAGGTAGCTAGGGAATGCAGTAAAATGAGACCGGAAGTATTGTCCCAAGGCCATGATTGCGAGTGTTCAGGTGTAGAGGAAAGGAAAAGTCTTGCAGATGAGCATCGAAGAAGAGGAACAGAGAAGAAGAGGAGAAAGTAGACGACTGAACTGGGGGACGGAAAGGACAAAGGACAGTGTTGGGTTGACTGATTGCTCGTATACCCTTGAGGCTGTCTCCAAAGTCAATTATTCGCTTGCTTAGCAAGCCTGGAGCGAGTCTTGAGTCTCTATTGATGAACAACAATCTGAAGGAAGGAAGATAAGCTGCCAGTGTTTCATACTTCCATTACCGTATGGTACTGTCACTCTGCAGCCCACTGATCGCCAATCCTACCTAGAGCGGCAAGAGCAATCGGAAGGCTTGAGGCAAGACATAAGCTTAGTCACCCTATCAATTGAGTGTCAATTGAGTGCTGCCCCACTGTCAGCCTGCGGGGTCTTGTACTGAATCTTGCATGATTAGTGGTAATGGATCAGTATGGCGCTACTGTAGGTACATACATGGATACGATTCCAACTCAACAACGGGTGAGTGTTGCACCTACTTAGTACAGTACACTGTAGTACACTGGACCTTCAGCTGGACTAGTCTTCTCCCTCTTCCCATTCAATCTTCTCTCCCTGGCCCTCATTACTCAGCTGTGAAACGAGGTGATGATTGACTGCAGACATCGCCCAATGCCGCCATGTTATTACCCGATCAGGGAATTGCCCTGAACACGAAGATGACAGTCTCTCAGCCTCTTAGTCTCATCTTTGAAGCTGTTTGACCCGGAGGGAAATAGTTGACGAACCCCCCCCCCCTCTCTCTGCAGTCTCAATAACAGACAACTTTCTCTTGTAAGAGTTCAGTTCCCACCAATCCTTGTGACTTCTACCACCCCGTAACCACCTGGTCGGGAATTCGCCCCTCTCCCTGCAGCCCAGATCTGGGAAGACGAAGATCTGACAGATCGCAGCTGCCGACTCGATGGCACATGTACATGTACTAGGTAACCTGCAGTCCTTGCCCGTGTCAGATCCCGAAGAAGCCCGGAAATAACCGTGGGATGCGAGGAAAGACGAAGACGCCCTGTCCTGGTCTGTGCCACCGCCACCCTTCCCACTTCTTCGTACTTCACTCCTGTCAACCCACTTGTCAGCATTCCCATCAACCCGAAGTTTTGAAACGGGACCCATTCCAAATCCTCACAGGCTCTCCTTGAACTTTACTGTACCTTTCGTTGGTACAACCTGTTGCCTTATCCCACTCCCTCTTCCCCACTCAGCTTACACACATCCTTTGCTCCCCTCTTTAACTTCACGACCAATCCTGGTCCCAGCCATCCTTCTTTCCCCTCGTCGGCCCAGCAGCCACTCGGCCGACGCTCCCTGGTACGGTCTCTCGGAGGGACAATACCCGTCTCAGGGGTCCTATCCCAGCTTCATTCCCGAATAAACCTCCGGTGGCTGTCCAGGGCCACCCCCAAACAGGTCCGGAGAGGGGTGGGCTGTCCATGTCAGGAAACAAGAAAACATTCGCAGGGAAGGAGGGGAAAGATCCTTATCACCAAGAGAAGAAGAGGCCACATTTCGCTCACTGCTTCAAACTGGCTCAGGTATACATGGATACGAAAAACTATGCAGGCTAGTTGGGAAATCTCTCACAAAACAAAGCAAAAACCGCAAAAGTCACAGGAGATTCAGATATCAAACACACCACCATGCCTGGAACAGGTTCAGACCATATGTCTAGGAGGGGTACCCTCCGTTTGTCTCCTCCCCTGGCCCTCTGGTCAGTTGTAACCCAATCCCTCGTCTCCTTTAGGCAATTCCCAATGATGGGACCATGCCCTGTTCTTCTTTGCGCTCGCTACCCACCCGGTACGAGACGCGGAACCGCATCTTGATCGCGTTTCCTTTACCCACCGGAACCCTATCTACTAACATTTCCTGTTGCACCCCGTTCGCCTGTGAGGGTGCAATGTCCCGTCCCGACTGCGGCCGCAGTTGCAGTGTGTATGACTGTGCGGTTTCATTAGCATTTGCGTTTTCATAAGTCACCCGGGAGCGAGAGGGGGGAGAGAAGATGCTCACCTTCTCCACGGCCACTTGAAAGTGTAGTTCACTCAGTGGCTGGTTAGTACTGTTGGAAAACAGGGCTACCACATGAATCTGCTGTGTATGTTGGGGATGCCGGCGCGCCATGAATTCAATTCGGAGGTTCGAGTTCAGAACCTGCACACGATTCATGCTGGGTAGCGCGTTGCTTTCCGGCAGAGATGAAGCGAAATTCCATTCGTCCTCCTCCCGCGCCTTGGTCTGGCTGTTTGCTGGTGGCGCAGGCTCGCTTCCCATCAGGTCCAACAACGAACCTGCTGGCGGCTGAGCGCTCGAGGGCAGAGGACTGGCCTGTCGCGACCCGGCAGACACCAAGGACGCAAACGGATCGAGAGCAGGAGAAGGGGTTGCTGTAGCGGGAGAAGAGTTGATGCTCTGAGGCCGCCCACCTGGGGCGGGCGTGGATGACTGTGAGGGCGACTGAGATGTGTTGATCGAGGAAAAGATGTCATAGTTGGGCCTTAAGCTAGTGGATGCTTGAGGCACCGGTGGCGTCGCGGACGTCGTAGGGGCTGAGCGATCAGGTATTAGCACGCATCAATATCACAAGGTACGTAAGTCGCCTACCAGGCCCCAGCGAGATTCCACCATGAGCCGGAGCAGGCTCGTCTATTGACAGTCCCAACAAGTCATTCTCCAAAGAGTTACCTCCAGTAGGAGCCACGGCCCCATTGCCGTTGGCGTTCGGTGCGGGTTCGGGATCAAAGTCGATGAGGGAAAGTTCATTATTAGCGTTCTTCGACACGCCCGTTGTCGTGCCCAGAGTACCCTTGGGGATCTGAGAGGCCGCCTCCCAGTCGCCCTTCTTAACAAGCTTGTACCGCTCGATCGTGCGATGTATACTGTCATTGATCTCGAGCAGCTTCTGTACGGCCTCCGGATCATCCGACTCCTCCTCGCACATCTTCTGAATCTTGGGATGGGCGCTTTGGAGTGCACTCGCCAGTTCCTTGTCGATACTGTCAGCAGGTCTGTGCCAGTTTTGAGAGATGAAACAACCTACTTCGAATACGTCCCCTTCAGCAACTCGGTCGCCCGGCTGGTGGCTCTGTAGCATTTCCTCCAATATCTTGGCTTTTTGCTGCACCTTGGCCACCTCTTCTGCCGCCTTGGCCCGATAATCCGTCTTGTGTCGGTTGTCGTAGCCGGCCATGACCTTCATCAACCGATTGGCTTCTTGCAAGTCGGCGGGGGTACCTCTGCGGATTAGCTCCTGCAGCTTAGCGGATTGAGCCTCACGCTCTTCCTCTTCCATTTCTTCGGCCGAACGAAGGTTCTTGACGGGTCAGCGGACCTAACGTTCAAAATCAGAGAGGGGTAAACTCACATCACTGGGATTCAGGACCGCAGCATCCTCGTGGCGGATTTCCGGGAACACGTAGCCCTTGTAAAGTAGCAGACGGTGCATGTCCCGAATGTGGCCTAGATCCTCCTTGTACCTCGACGTCTGACAGATAGTCTGTCTCCACTCCTCAATGGACTCGAGGATGCGGTGCTGCACGCGCGAGGGCCGTATGGCTGGGCGCTCGGGGAAGCGACGGACCAGCTCATTGAGAAATTCCTTGGTGCTGATCTGAAGATGAAAGGGGTAACCGCAATTCTTCACGCAAATGTCGAGCAACTAGCCGAAAGTGTGTCTCGTCAGTCCTATATGTTCCGCGCCAGGCTACTCGATGACATTTTTTGAGGCCACCTACTGCCAACGCCAGTAGCGCCACGTTTTGGTTTCGCGAGTTGATCAGATGGACGATCTCGATAGCCGCTTCTCGAGGTCTGCGGAACGGCCGTTAGTTTTCCGATGGGTCGCTTCCCAGGACGGCGGGGATGCGCAACGCCAGACCAGAGACTCACGCATTGCCTTTCTTGGAGTTTATCAGATCGGCCACTTCAAGATTCAGGGCGAGGTTGGGTTCATAGTGGGACAGGTCGCAGGCATTTCCTGTAGTAGTAGGAGATAAGATATGAGCAATTCGTCATATTTCTGCAGAAGCTCCATATATCGAGAATTGTGGTGGTGGGAAAATCCAGGAGAAAGAAAACGAGAAGGAGGGGGGAGGGGAGGGGGGCACAGAAGACACATACGGATAGCTCTTTGTAGCGGTGTTAAGCCCGGGTCAGCGTAGGCACCGAAGCGGTCCCTCGCTGCCATACGTGCTGAAGCGGCCTCCAGGGTGAATTAATTGAAAAGAACCAACAGGGGATTGAGGATAATAGGGGGAGAGAATTGAGAAAAGGGAGTACTGCGTAGCGCGCGCGGAGGGAAATCGGAGTCGGGGAAGAGCTTTCAAGGTAGTAGTAGTAAAAAGCAGTGGGAAGAAGGATGATGATGATGATGGAATGGGTGGAATGAATTAATGGGGGAAGCGGACAGGGAAGAATGAGGGGAACTTCTTTCCGTCCCGATGCCGGGTTAACCTGACAGGCCAGGACGGACTTGGTTGGTTGGTCGATTGGTTGCTTGGTTGCTCTCCGTCACTGTCTGCATTTTCACAACTTCTACACCACCATCACCTTTGCACCTTCGCTCATCCACCTCTTCTACGCGCTGCACATATGAAACAGCAGCACATTCTTGCAGCCTGATACCTTACCCATTCCAACAACTTTGTCATACTGGCAACAACACAGACCCTCTAAACAAAAGCCAAAATACACTATGGTCCGCCACAAGAAGGACAACTTCTCCCGCGGCGGCAAGAAATTCTCCTCCGCCCCGCGCTCTCGTCCCCCTCCTCCCCGCGGCGGCGGCGGCGTCGGCGGCGGTGATGGCGACAGTGACACCGAGCAGGGCGGTTACTCTCGTCCTCCCTTCAAGGCTGCCTGCTGGGACATGGGCCACTGCGATCCGAAGCGATGTTCCGGCAAACGATTGATGAATTTCGGCCTGATGCGTGAGTTGGCGATCGGCCAGCGCTTTCCCGGTGTCGTGATCTCGTATGTTGTCGCTAGCCCATACCCACATCCACACCCACACCTACACACATCTATGGCCCGGAATATATATATATATGATATAGATATCCGTACGCTGGACTCCCGTTACTAACGTTCTTGCTTCTCTCAAATCCCCAGGCCCAACGCCAAAAAAGTCGTCTCCCCCGCTGACAAGGACCTTATGGAACAATTCGGTGCTGCGGTGGTAGAATGCTCGTGGGTGCGCACCAAGGAGGTCCCTTGGTCGAGAATCGGGGGCAAGTGTGAACGATTGCGTATGTCTTTTTCTCTCTATTTTATGCCATCTACATGCATCCTCTCGATTCAAGCCTAATCTCTTTTTGTGTTGCAAAACAGTCCCCTACCTCATTGCCGCCAACACCGTCAACTACGGCAAACCTTGGCGTCTGAACTGCGTCGAAGCCCTGGCGGCCTGTTTCTGTATCTGCGGCCACGAGGACTGGGCTCGCGAAGTCCTCAAACCCTTCCGCTACGGTGAGGCCTTCATGGAGATCAACGCCAAGCTTTTTAAGCGCTACGCTGCCTGTGCCGATGAGGAGGAAGTGAAGCGCGCCGAGGAGGATTGGCTCGCCAAGATCGAGAGGGAGTACGAGGAGAGTCGGGCCACAGGTGCGGACGATATGTGGACCGTCGGAAACACGAACCGGAGGGCTGAGAGTGATTCGGAGGAAGACGATGAGGACAAAGAGGATGAAGAGGAAGACGAGGAGGAGGATAAGGATCCGTTCGCCATCTCGGATGATTCGGAGGAGGAAGAGCAGATGGCTGCGATCAGAGCGAAGATCTTGAATTCCAAGGCGTTCCAGAATCCCGAGGTCGAGGAGAAGGTGAAGCCCGAGCGGATCGCGAGACCCGAAGAAGAGACCATTCCACAGCAGTTGAAAGATGATTCAGATGCGGAGTCGGGGTCGGCCGAAGGCGGCAGTGATGATGAGGAGGATGCTTTCGATAACATCATCAATGCCACGCCTGTGACGGATCGCACGGGCATTATCGCGGCTCAGAAAAAGAAGCAGCGGGAGACGGTCAGTGCCTCCTTTTCGAGGACGGTGGTCGATGCGCCTAAAAGGTGGTAGTGGTAGTCCGTCGCGGGGGACACTTGCACGCAGACAAACATAACGAGATATCATGGAAATATAATGAAACAATCATGAAGTTTATACAGTTGGCATACTTGTGTATCCTGTGCCATTGCAGATAGGGTATGCTTTAGAACAACAGACCATTCTGACCATCCAAAACAAGCTGTGATTGCCAAAGCTAAGAAAGCAATGAGAATAGCATGACAGCCCATAGTTGATATTAAGTATGAAAGGCACCAATAATTCTCACCCCATCGCTCGACCCGAAAAGCCCACAAGCGCCTATTTACATGACATACCGCAAATTCACATCTATATTCCGTCAGAACCGCTTCCTACTTTATACATTATACCGGAACAACAGGACACTGCTTACCCAAGGGATGACTGCTGCTCAGCTGCGGCTTCTGCGAGTACTTGGTAGCCAACTCGTCGCGGATGCTGTTCAACAGCTGTACGTAGCTCTGCTGTGGGTTCTTGCGGAGCGCGCTGATAAACGCCCACGACATGGCTCCCGTGGCCTGTCCGGCAATCTGTGCGTCCTGGCTGGTCTGATCGTCTTTGCTGCCCGACCACATGATCACGTCTGCCGGGCTTGTCTTGGTCTGTTTGGTACGCTCGTACGCCTCGTCTCCCTTGGTCGCCTTCTTCAAGAATCCCACTGCCGTTGACATCATGCTGCTCATATCGCCCCGCGCGTATGCCGAGACCACGCCCAGCAGACCCTGACCCGCCTCCTTGGCCAAGTTGGGCTCCTTGAGAATTCCTTGGGTCGAGTAGATGTAAGGCAGATCCAGGGCAGATCCAGAATGGCACGAATCGAAGATCGCTGTGAGCCGCACTCCGGGCTGAAGTGGTTTGACCATGATGCGGTGCATCTCGTCATCGACAATATGTCCCGCGGCGCGGAAGTCGACCGGGTAGATCACCTCATCGTATCCGTCGTCCTCGTCGCCGTCCAGGTCAGGGGTCTGACCGCCGTGGCCTGCTGCCGTTAGACCAGCCTCGAAAGAAAATCGGGGTTAACATGTCGGCGCTTACCAGAGTAGTGGAAGAACAGAGAGTCGTTAGGCTGCGCATCCTTCACCAGCCAGTGCATAGCCCGGAGGATGTTGGCCTTTGTGGGTTGGCTCATAGGGTTTTGCTGGTCATCCGTCAACAGGACCATGTCCTCACGAGCATAGCCAAAGTTCTGATTCAGGTATGTTGACATATTTTTGACATCGTTGATACATCCTCGGAGTTGGCCTTTCTGGTTGAAATAGTTGATTCCAATCAATAGCGCCTTTCTCTTGCCCGTGCAACGAGAGTACTGGAAGCTGTAGCCTTGCGGCGCGCCATGACCGAAAGACACCGGTTCACTTGGCGGAGGAGGGGGTCCGTTGCCCTGGCTGCCTTGGTTGTAAGGGTTCGAGTATCCTGGAAGGCGTCAGTTGCGTCAAAACTGCGCGTTAGAGCGGTTTGCAGCTTACCCTGCTGACCACCATATTGGGGAGCACCATAACCACCCTAAAGGACTGCCATTAACCGTCCGTTGCACAGGAAAATAAGACTCGGGCTCGCTTGACATACATTATAGCCGCCCTGGGGCGGTTGCGATCCCGAATACTGTTGGGGCGGCGGCTGACCGTAAGGGTAAGGATTGCTGGGAGGTGGTTGTTGTTGGCGGTAGGCCTGACCAGGGTATCCCCCGCCGCCGCCGCCATAAGACGCTTGGTGATGATGATGGTGAGGGTTCATTTGTCTGGGACATTGATTAGCATTAAGCACGAGGCGTCTGTTTGATTATTTGCTCAATCAAGATAAAGAAGGCGACTGAAACTCACTGCTGATACTGTGGTGGCGGACTGCCGTAGCTCTGAGGGGGGTAATTATACTGCTGCTGCTGTTGCTGCTGCGGGGGATACCCGGGCGGGCCCGAATATGGAGGATAGTAGGACATGGCCGAATTGCAGAGGGAAGACGAGGATTTATGGACGAGTCACAGGAGTAGAATAAGAAAGACAGGTACGCAGGGCCCAAGCAGATCACGAGTCAAGGGATAAGACGAGAGGCAAAGCGAAGAGAGAAGAAGGGGAGAAAAAAAAATAGAAGTGGTGAAAGAGGAGAAGAGGAGAAGGTCAGATGGTGAGGAAGTGAGAAAGGCGCAGTCCGTCACTGGGGAAAGGCGGCAGTGGAGCCCGACGCGCCGATTGGTGCTTCCTCGGTTGGATTTACTTCTTCTTCAATAAAGTAAGAGTAAGAGAGAAGAGAAATAAATAGACGAACAAAATTAGTCTTTTGGGGGACGAAAACCATAGACTTGGATGAACGTTTGGATAGGTTTAGGTCTTCTTCCTGCATATCGGTCACCCCGATCCCCAGCTGCATTGCGCCGATGCAAATAATACAATCTTCCTGCCAGGTGCCAACGTCAGGATTCCAAATGCACCCCTCCTATCACACATCGTTATCGGCCCGTCCTCATTGCTGCCCATCCTCGTGGCTATCAGCCATCATGGTGCCGCCGAAGAACTGCCGGGGTATAAACCTATCGATTCAAGGTTATCGCGAAAGAATTCATGGCCTCGTGGGATTCCAGGACAGCAGCACGTGATGCCGTAAGGGCCCACGAAGTGAGTGACAGATAGTGGACCTTTCCAAATCGGGATAATTTAGTCTACGAACAGCCCCTATAATAAAAGGATCCAATATGAAGGGCAAAAAGAAGATGATAAAGAAAATATGATATTATCCACAACCAACGGAAAGCACTCAAGCGCTATTCAGATCATTGATTGCTTTTGTATTCAACCGTTCCATCGCATACAGGTCCAAATCTATTCCTCGTCCGCCTATCGTTTACCGTCCGCGGCGAGGCATGCCACGTCCACGGCCACCCAGAGCGCGCTGGGCAGCACCCGGCGGGAGTCCACGCGCCGGGGCCTGAGCCTGGGCTGACTCTTCATTCTCTGTAGAGGAGAAAGGTTGTCACGTCAGCTCTAAACTAGAATCGGATGGGGTTGCTGGGTCTCTTACTAATAGTTTCGTCCACGCTCAGAATCAGGCAGGCTGCCTCAACAGCCGCCTGGATGGCATTAACCTTAACCAGACTGGGCTCCCACACAAAGGCAACCATGTTGTCCCGAACACCTTCGTTGTCAAAGTCTACACCTGCCCAGACGTTGCCCTTGCGGTGTTCGACCCGCAGGCGGTTCAGGATGTCCGTCGCGTCGAATCCAGCGTTGTCGCACAGCTGACGGGGAATCACCTCCAAGGCCTTGGCAAAGGCCTTGACCACTGCCTGCTGCTTGTGGGGCACGTTGCGGTCCGCGAAGCCGTGCATGAAGCTCGACAGTTCCATCTCGGTGGCACCGCCACCCGCAACAATGGTGGTGTGGCGAAGAGCACGCTTGACGATCATAATGGCATCGTGCAGACTGCGCTCAACCTCCGCAATAAATTGCTCCGCTCCACCGCGCAGCACGAGTGTGCAGGTCTTGGCAGCAGGACATTCCGAGAAAAGATTGTAGCGCTCACCACCAATTTGACGTTCCTCAAAGACACCGCATGTACCCAAGTGACGATCTTGGATGTCACTGCAAGTCGATTGCGTTGCCGCACCGGTCGCCTGGCAGACCCGGTCCATATCATCAGCAGCCACACGACCAGCACAGAAAATATCGCGATCCGCAAAGTACCTGTGCACAGTGAATCGAACATTAGTGACTTGCAGGCCAACGGCAAGGATGATGAAAGAAGAACATACTGCGTAGCCAAATCACCAATAGGCAGCTTGCTGAGAACAACCTTGGCGCCGGTCTTGTAGATTGCTTCGAGCTTGTTGTAAATGATCTGCCACTCGGCATCGACAATCGCCTGGTACTCCGACACATGCTCCACGCGCACTTCGGCGTTGTCCTTCTCGCTCTTCAACTCCAACTCAACGTTCAGACACACAATCTTGGGGTCTTTGAAGTACTTCGGCTGTTGCTCGAAACCGGCATAAGAGAAGGTCTTCTTGAAGGCAACACCGTTGACGAAGAGTGAATCCTGCAGACCACCACCAGTAACTCTCTTGATACCGATCAGCTTCTCGTTGAGGTCATCCTGGTCAAGCGACAAGACGGCATCCACCACCACTAGAACAAATTTTAGTTTCCAGGCCATGACCCTTGTATAACCGGCAGGCCAACTTACTCTTAGTGAAGAAGTCTGAGTTGCGCTTAATAAGCTTGCTGTTCATCGCCGTTGCGGCCAGGCGTCGTAGCGTCTCGACCTTCTTCTCCTCGCTTCCGGCAGCCTCGATCATGTCGATAGCAATCTCTTTGATCTTGTTCACAGCCATGGAGCTGGCTCTCCGCAGACCCTTGACAATAGTCTGTGAACTGACTCCCTGCTCGACGAGTTCCCGAACTTCCTTCAAGATCTCACCCGCCAAGACGACAACCGATGTTGTTCCATCTCCCACTTCGGCATCTTGAGACCGGGCAATGTCGGTGAGAATGCGGGCGGCGGGGTGCACGATATCGAGGAGCTAGATGGAGGGTAATGTCATCAGCAACCGACAGCGGGGTAAGGGATGTATTATTTGTCCAAGGAGAACAAGAAAAAAAACGTCAAGTGAAGACATATGACAGTCGGGACCGACGCACCTTCATGACGGTGGCTCCATCGTTCGTAATGGTCTGCTTGCCGTTGCCGTCCACCAGCAACAAGTCTCCTCCATAAGGGCCGAGGGTGCTCTTGATCGTAGACTGAACTGCAACACAGGCATTGATGTTGGAGATAATTTGGCCCTTTCCCTGCGAGGTGTCCGTGCCTGTTGGACGCAAAATCACAAGGTCAGTTAGCAACGATCCGCGGTACACACAGAAGCAGCATTTGGACGCGGGCGAGGTGACGGACCCTCCTTGAGCACGATGATCGTGGGAGTCTGGCCAGCGAAGGCCATTTTGGTGGAAATGAATGGACGGAAAGAGAGGGCAAAGCGAGGGAAAGGTGAAGAGCCGAGAGCGAAAGCGTGGGGAGTTGATGGGAGAGTGGCCCTGAATAATGATCGCAGCTTTCTCGGAGGGGTCTCAATAATGCCTGCCTCTGACCAAAATTTCCCCAAGCTCCCAGCGTCGAAGGCGGTGACCAATCATGCCGCGCCCCGCAGCCCTCCTTTTCGACCGCCGGGGAGTACCTATTCAACTACTACTAGCATCAACACGACCGCATCTCGTCTCATATTGTTCTCTTTACTCAGCTCACCTGGGCTGAGTATGATCTTAATTAGTGGCTTACTGTCAGTCGCGGGAAACTGTACAGCATCATAAGAGATCAGGACGAGCGGTTGTTACTGCCCTCACGAGCATCTCTGTTCACAACCTTCCTACAAACATTGGTTCTAGACGCTAATAACTCATGCAGCTTGACTCGGAGCTCCCAGAACTCGTGTGTCATGGCTATATGTCAAGAAAGCATTCGAACTCAAGTGATTTTCATCACGTGGCTGATGCTGTGGAGACAGAAAGTCCTTCTGTACTGTCGGGCTGACGTTCCGTTTGCTGCATGCGAGAACATCGTCGATGATTCTAAATCAATACGCAGAAATACTTCATGATCGAGCACACAGACCTCTTTGGTAGCTCAAAATCTATTATTGAAAAGAAACTCCCTCCATGATATTGTGCATGGAGATGGCCATGAGTTCAGATTTGCGCCAGAACTTAAGAGGTCGCGGGCAATAAGACTGGCTCAGTTCGGGTCGACGATAAAGTCCCAACGACTGCTGCAACGCCCAATCATCGAATATTCAGCCAATAAATGATTTGGTGTTGCATTGGCTTCCTTTCCACTGTAGCCCTTTCCACTGTAGCCGTGGAAAGGGGGGCATCTGCAAGGCTCAGTTGTATATGAGCACCAGCAAAGGCTCGAAAAGCCTACGGTCCATGTACGCATTAGCGAACAACTTCTGTCGACCTTTACAGTTATCAAGCTTTTGGGGTTATCAACTTATGTGGTTACTCCAGGGTCAAAAATTCATGTATTGAAGGTTGCGTTGAGCAGTTGAGAAGTGATGTCACGCAACCGTATGTTTTCCACATCAAACTTCGGCTGCTTCTATGCTTCTACATGAACCACTCCTGCTCCATGAACAAAGCGCTCCCTTAGCTGCGAACGTTTTTCTCTACTGTAAATCCTCCGATTGTGTTGTTACAGACTCTAGGTTACATCTGTCACCTATCTAATAGTCCCATGTCGACTGGAAATGCCCCTCAGTTCTACCCTAATACGCTGAGTCCTGTTGTGATCAGCAAAGGCTCCTTGGAAGATACACTGAAGCAGCTCCAAGAGGCTGTAAAGCATGGGGCTATGCTTCTACAGAAAAACTGTTCCCCGCTCAAAGATTGGGGAAAATCCCATAATACTGGTTTCTATGCTGGTTTTCCAGGTATATCGTCGCCGCATATACCAACGGCCGCCGTTCCTTGATCAAATCACATTTTGTTCGTGGTCCGCTGATGATGGCTTAGGCATCGTTCTGACCTTCTTGCGCCTAGACCACCAAGTCAAATCACTTGGGGCTGGCTGTCAGGACTTTCATCAACTTGCCATTGAGCGTATATTGCCAGAAGGCCCGGATGTGCCACTCCAGCATCAGAGAGTGTCTCCGTTCGGCTCTTCCAGCGCCTTGGCTGGTCCGATACTGCGCATCCTTGCCTCAAGGGACTTGAAGACAACAGTTCCTAGTGACGATACGGCATGCATCCAAGAGGCGATGCGAATCTCTTTGACTAATGGCCGCATGGTATCACATGGTGGTTCGCTCATGGGATCAGATGAAGTTCTATTTGGCCGAGCCGGCTTGCTGTGGGCGTTGCTTAACCTTCGGCTGCGTAATTATGAGGATGAGACAGCGCAGGCCTTGACACTGGTTTTCAAAGAGATACCTCGGCTAGTCGACCGTATCATTGCGAGTGGAATCGACGGTAGAGAAGACTTCATCTCCAAGCATGGAGAGCAATATGCATTGCCATTGATGTGGCATTGGAAGGAAGAACGGTACAGTCTTGGGGCGTTAGTATTTTCTCAACCGATATTTTTGCACTAAACTGACAATATGACCAGAATACATGGCATAGGCAAGTATATATACACTATGCAATAATCATAAGGTTCCGATAACTGACAGTTCTCTCTGATAAGCTGGCATACTTTCTAGCCTCCTTGCCTGCAAGCCAGAGGAACTCAGCAACGGTGCAGAACGCAACTATTGGCCACTAATAGCTGGAACAATTACAGGTCTTTGCAAAATATGTATTGCCAATGGTGGCCACCTGCCTACGAGTCTTCCTTTTCATGGCTCCTCGCGTCGCTCTAGCCCTCTTGTTCAAATATGTCACGGCAGCCCCGGCTTCCTGAATCTCATGGCTTGCGCCAGAAGAAATCGTTCCTTGGTTTCTACTTCCTGGCAGCCGGAGTGGGATAAGGCCATTTCTGTGGCGTGTGATCGGGTCTGGGAGGAAGGAATCCTGTACAAGGGTGGCGGATTATGCCATGGGATTGCAGGAAATGCATGGTCGTTGCTTCTCCTTCATGACAGTTTTCAGTATGATGAGGATTTCATGGAGACAACCAGGCGTAACTACGTCGCGCGAACAGGAGATTTTGATGCAACATCCAATGCAAGCGAGCTAACAGGCGACTACTTTCTTGCAAGAGCACTCGCATTACTATTAGAGGCGCAAAAAACGCCCCCTTACAATGATTCGAAACGAGACTCGTCCTTGTACCGCATGCCCGATCGCCCGTGTTCCCTCGCAGAAGGCCTCGCTGGCACTGTTTGTGCATGGGCAAACGCTTGTGTAATCCTCCAGTCAAGGTTACGGAGCATGCACATACAGAAAGACTTTTCCTCCCACGATATGGACGCTGTGTTTCAGGAGTACGAATCGCAGAAGCTGGAAATCCCAGTTCTTGCTTACCACAAGCCTACTGGGCTACTATGACTATCTGTTTACAGAAAGCTATCTATTCATCACAGAATAATTTGTGCAAGTCAAATTGGTCATTGCTATAATGCTCCAGACACATTAGAATGAAATGTGAAGTGTCAAATCAGCCATCAGAGGAACTCCTAGACGCCATGCTTATACTGGAAAATCAATCGTTAGTCGGGTAAATTTTGCACCCGAATCCAAGCACCGTGAATCGTTATTGTCGGCATAGCCATGCTTTAGAAGAGCGTGAAACCGGAGCGGTACATAGGTGGTTGGCCTGGTATTTGAAACTTGTATTCAACACGCCTCGGCACAAATTGGCCTTGCGGCGCCTCAACCGCAACCCTCCATCGCCGCCAACAATTTGTGACCTGATGATGCCTATCGCCACAGAATGAACACTGCTTTGGCCCGCGATGGGGCTGATTCGGTGGTGCTTGCGCTCGTGCTTGCTGGCCGCTGTGAGATTTTTTCGCTTGCTCGCGATGCATCTGTTCAATCACATAGTCGTTGATTTCTTCTTGGCTCGGCCTTTTGTTGTGGCCTCGTACACTTTTGCTGTGATTGTGCATCTGCTCGTCATGGGTCATTCGCTGGACGACAAAGGCGTTTATGTCATCTTGAGTCAGAGTATCAGGATCCATTGACGTCTTCCGTGGAAACGCAAAGTCACGCTCTGAGACTGCGTTCTCTTTCCTTCCCTTCCCTGGCAATTGTCGCAGTCTTTCCTGTTCCATGGCCAGACTCGCCAGCTCTTGGAATGACATCCGGTCCTCTTGGTTGGAGGCATTTATGCGGCTATCTCGCAGCATTGTCGTAGCCCAGTCCCTCCAACCAGTACACTCTTTGAGCTTCGTGAGAAATAACAAATTGATCTGAGAGTCCGGTATGCGGAAATTGTCATCGATATGCGCGAGTCCTTCTCGAAGTGCTTCAATCAGAGTAATAAAGTCAGCGACCATATCGGATTTGTCGGGGTCGAGATCAACGAATTCCCCGATATAGTGCATCATCCGAGTATTTCGCTGCCAGGATCCCATCTTCAGCCAGGGACTCAAGGTAGAAAGAATACGCTTAGCAGGGACGAAAACGAAGAAGAAAATGCTATAAGGGGCTGCATGGTAAAGGTTCTCTGGCAGCTTTTTGTGGTGATTTGGAGTGTTTTGCAGACGAAGCGGGGATGACGTCAGACGGGTACCTGCCCGTCAGCTTGCCAGATTCAGTATGGACTCAGTTCATTCCATGGGCTTAATGATCCCCAGATCCATAGAGACCTTCTTCCCTTCTCTGCTTTCCTGACACCTGTCTACCTCGGTCGTTGACCACGAGGCGATCTTCGCGACCTCAAATGTCGTTCGCGCTTACGGACAGCAAATCAGAATCCACAAGCTTATTGCCTTATGGATCCTTGGTGTCTTCCTACGCCCCATCGCACCCCGTGGCAGTGCCCGGCGCGCTGACTGCAGATTTGGGGCGGAGCGTTTCTTGGCCCCCGACTTTATGACAACCAAATGATCGCCCCAATGTGTCAAGCTTGCTGGAACTCCCTCGTACTTCAAAGAACGCTGCCTCCTGATCTCGCCCCTCCTCCGTCTGGAGAAAAAAAAGATATAGTGGTTCCAGACTAGCCCGAGACATCACTAAGAGAACCAAGGCCCCCAACCAACCCACATGTAGCAACCATGGACACAGTGCCACCATCCTATCAGTCTGCTACAGCCCGCGATGCATGGTCCATTATATCACAGTATATCCCATCAAGCGACCTGTGCGCTGCTGCTTTGGTTTGTCGGCGATGGCATGGGCTGTTCATGCCGTTTCTATGGGGTGACCCTGCTTCACACTTTGGGACTGAAAATGATGCAGTCTACGGTATGATACCCCGGTCTTTGGGGCGGGTGTTGGAATCTTAGCGCTGACGAAAGATACGCCATGCAGTCGCTTTGACAAGGTTCAGGCGGACACTCAAGTATGCCCGTCTCGAGGTGCGGATGCTCACCCATACGCTGCATCTACCCCCGGCCTTGTCAGAAATCTATGGTGGTCCACGTCCAGAGTGGCTGAGGGAGATTCTAGACTCTCTGCCAAACCTCCAATCTCTCATAGTGTCCAAGTTGCCTTTTTTCGATCATAATGCCATGATGGCTCTGAAGGGCGCTAGTAGGGGTGTTGAAGATGAAGCAACAACTTCCCGCACGTACAACATCCGCTTACTACTGGCGGACAACGAATATAACACAACCTCACAGGGCATTGCAGAGACGCTGATGTACTTCCCTGAATTGACCTACCTCGATTTATCCTATACTACCCCTGCTAGAGATCACTTGGTCCTGTCGGCTTTATCACAACTAGAATGCCTTCAGGTACTTAAGCTACGAGGTATCGGGCTGAAAGATAACGATGCGGAGTTTCTTGCTAACGCCATTGGCTATCGTGTTCGGTTTCTTGACTTGCGCAACAACCTTCTTACTGATATGGCTGTGAGGTCTCTGCTGCAAGCCTGCTTTCGACCCACAGGCAATGTCACCGCAGAACTTAGCCCGAGAAGGTCTGGAGCATGGGGTAGTCCGATTGGCGATTCTCAGTCAATACCCCTCTCGTCGATGCAAAGGTTTTTAAGTAGCCCTATGCTGGATGAGAAATACATGGCAGCATTGACCCAGCCACTAACAGGACGTTCCTGGGTTGAAGACTTATCAGAAGTCGGTATAACCCATCTTTATATCGCGCACAACCTCATTTCAGTCGAAGGAGCAGCAAGCCTCCTCGCTTCGTCTTGTCTGCACGCTCTTGACGTTGGGACGGTCAATACTGCTGAATGCATCAATAGACGACAACGTTCGCTAGCTTCTGCAAATGAGGACCGTCAGGATCTTCCAGGGGCTGAGAAATTAGTCCCTATCTTGGGCTCTGCTGCTAAGAAAAACCTTACATATCTTAGAGTCCACCATACGCTCTGCTCCGCTGAAGTACCCGCAAAGGATGCCACATCACCCGACGCACTTTTGCCCGAACTCTCGGCAGGAAGTAACAACGGTGAGCCGCGTATACCGGAGCTAGAGTCCACCAACGAGATTCATGAGCTCCCAACGGATTCGACCCCCATTTATGAGCTCGACGGCACTCCAGTGCCTCGGCCATCAAACCCGCCTTCACGCATTGCTGACTGCAACACCAGTCCCACTTTGTATGAAGACGAGCCATTACCTCAATGGCGACGTGGTTCAGTCTTTGCACCTGAAGCAATTGACGCCCCAGAAGTGAATAGAGGGGGAATGAGACATTCTGACTACACCACTCCATCGCCCCGACTGCCTCACGAATTGTCGACCTCCAGTATCTCCAGCATCCTGGATAGTAATATCGACACATACGGCAGCCAAACACTGTGTTCCTCTCCAGTGGCGATATATGATTCCCGCGCTCAGAAAGTCCAGGAACTGCTTTCTAAGCGTCCTAAGGACCTTCCTCGCTGGAATAGCAGAGGAAGTCACTATTATCCACATCTGCATCCTTCCCACGTGTCTCATTTAGAACAGCTTGTATTGACTGACGTTCCATCTCATGTACCCGCAAAGTCGCCGATCCTTGCGTCATTGATCCGTTTTATAACAGCCTGCTCGAACGAATCATTACTAGCTACGCTTCAGGCAGGATCAGATTACTCGCTTCCACCTGGTCAGGCTCGACTGCAAGCCGAACAAGAGAGTTCTCGGTCCTTATTTGCCTTGCGCCGGATTGTACTTGAAATTACGCCAACATCCCCAGCTCAAGGTTGCGCTAGGTTGACTCGATGGAGACCTACCAGCTACCAGGCTGGTACCTTGAGATCAAGTACTGGAGACCAGGACTCCGAGAACCTTTGGTCAGCAGCCGTTGATGACTTCAGCTTCTTCGGCGAGGAAGAGTGTGGAGTTCCAGATGGCTATTCAGGAAAATACTTTCCCATGGCCGTTTTGAATGAAAAGGTCTCGTTGATACCGGAAGATGAAGAACCCAGGCTCCCTGGACACCCGGAATCAAACGCCACTTCATCTCCAATGTCAATCAGTTCAGGTCAGCGATTCACACCGCAAGCTAGATCGAGGACTATTTCGATGGGCTCCGCATCTACCGCGAGAGATGGTTACCCCCAAGGCCCGTCGACTACTACAGCAGGTATAAGAACCTCTGCCACCGCAAAATCTCAGGTTGAAGTCCCGATGGTAGATCTTGTCGCCGAGCTGGCTGCCTTCCGACGCGCTAAAAAGATAGAGTATGAAGAAGGGGTAAGGCGCGATCGAAGGCGGCGGGATACAGTGGGGACCACAGGCTCCTCTTACCTCTCTTATACCACTACAATCTCCTCGTTCCGATCTCCTTCTCCTTCCCCAAGCTTCTCTTCGTTAGCAGGGGCATCATCCTCTACCCAGTCCATTCAACAGTTTGTGGAAGGCCACTGGAAAGGAGAAGTGAAGATAATACGAAATCCGACCCCCAAAGGACGCAGCGGGATTGTCGATATGTATGGAAACTATTTTGAGAAGGGCTATTTGTACCCTTGAGTCAGGGTAGATTGCTTATATTGAGAGAATATGGCAAGTCTAGCATATTCTGATCAAGACATGCAATACAGGGCCAAAGGCAGTAAGTAGCTAAAGCATTTACCCGATGAAAACAATCAATATCGATGTCTTTCAAAGAGCAAGAGATGCGACTGAACAGGCGTGGGTCCTTCGCCTGCGGACCAATATCTGATGTATCTACAACATCTCCTGAGAGAAAGCCAGTCCCTTAGATTTTTGATAATCCGTTTTTTTTCAACCCCGTAACTGAATCCCGTTCATTGAAAAGTAAAGAAAAGATGGTTTCATCAAGCACACATGATCAAGAGAAAAGCGTTACGCCGAGTAGGAATTGGCCCTTTTTCAAACTAATTCCATTTTTGTTCTCTTTCAAGGAAAAAAAGTGATTAATGATTCATTCCATTTCCTTTCCCTTAGTTGGCCTTAGCAGCCTGAGGAGGGCTCAGCTTCTTGCCGTCCTTGTTGTACCTGATGCGAGGAGGAGGGGCACGGTTGCGACGACCTTCCCGGGAGCGGACACTGGAAGATAAAGTCAGCATCGAGCGACAGCCATGCTTGGAAGGGTCCTATTCGTACCGGACGATCTTGCCGTGGATAGCGCAGGAGACACAGTACTGCAGCTTGAGGTACATCTTGGGGACGGCGTAGTCAGTGAAGACGGAGGCGTCGGAGATATCACCTGCAAAGGGTGGATGTCAGTCGCGGGGCTCAATTCGGTTTATGTCTGTCCGGCGGCCTATTGCTCGATTCCTGCGGCGGTCGAAAAGTCCACCAACTCATCTCTCCAATACTCAATGCAGCCGATCAGGTCCAATTCTGCCTCGGAACGAACAATAGGCGGCGCGCGGTACAACGGAGATGAGATTTTGCGGTGACATAGATCGGTGGAACGTACGGATGGCAGCGGACTCAACCATGTTGCGGATGGTGAATCTCTTGATGGCCTTGTCCTTGGGGGTGCAGCGCGCGCAGTTGGAGCAGCGCACGGGCTTGACGTGGCCGCGGCCGTTCTTGTTGCGACCGCTATAGGAGAGAAGCGTTAGTTTCTAATCCGTTGAAACAGATTTGTGATGTATGATTTGTTCCCCCAAGGTGCCTTGGGAAATCCACTCCATCTTCATGTCTGTCGAACAAATCACGACCGACTAGACATATCCGCCGGGCCTCTTTCGAAATTGATTCGATTCGGAATGTGACTCTTCTTGGTAGCGTTCGAATTGTTGTTCAGGTCCCGGCGTATGTATGTGCGGATGCGTGCGATTTGACAGTCCAGAGCATGATTTCGGAAATTGGATATGTGGATTTTGATTATAGTTGTGTGGGGGCAAGCAAAATCAGGGTGGTTTATCGGTTGTTCTTACTTGTTCGCCCTCTTCTTGACCATCTTGACGGATTTTTCTGCGGCGGCGGGTCAGAGACTGGAAGTCAGGAAAAATCGGGGGGGGGAAGGAGGTTGAGCGCGTACTTGGTTGTCGGGGTTGGTTGTCGTCGTAAAGGCACCGGAGTCTCTCGCTCACTCGGGATGAGGTTGTGTCGGGTTTGTGTGGGAGCCCTATGCCCTTAAGCGAGGCGGGTCACGGGATTGAGGCTTCCCAGGATTTGTGCCTTGGTGCCTTGGGACTTGCTGAGTGCCTGAGGTGTGGAAGTGTGGCTGAGTGGGGCAGTTGATGCCTGGGTCTTATGCCTCAGGCAGTAACATTTTCTCTCATGTGACCTGATGAGAAAAGTGGCCTGACCGCTTTCACGGAGCGAACTTGGCAGATTCAGGCTGGGTTGGGTTGGGTTAGGTGATCCGTTCATGACTGCAGTTCATGAGTTCACGTGCTTTCCGCCTGACGAAATCGAGTCTCGACTCACATTCAATTTTCCCCTTAAAATGGTTTAGTGGCAATGGTTGATCCATCATTACGGTACACTAATACGGTATTTTGTTTACTCCTGCGGATCTTGATGGACTTGGTGGATGGCATGCGTGGCGGAGGGTGGGTGGTTCTGTATGTATTGAAGTGGTCCCATCGGGGGGAGAGAGATGCAGTCTCCGTCGTCCACTTCCCTCCTTGAGAGTTGAAACTGTCAATAACAAGTAAATAGTTTGGCCGAACTAGAACTAAGTTGGGAAACCTCCTTCTTCGTCCCCAATTCCTATTCTTTCTCTCCCTCCTCCTCCCCCCCCCCCCCCCACTCTCCCTAACTCCCTCCCTCCCCTGGTTTGTACCGTATCTTTCTTGTGAATCAACTTCATCCTCAAAATTCTTCCTCTTTTTCACTCTCTGTTCCTTCTTGTCTTTGCGTGGTTGCATCTCTCTCTCCTCCGTTCCGAGAAGACTAGTCTCCCTCTCTCTATCTCCTTAAAGTCCCGGTTGTCTACAATCTGTTAGTCTCCGCTTCTCTTTTTGAACCGGTTCGTCCAAACACAGACCGACTTTAAGTCAGCTCCGCCAGTCACCGACCGGGGACATGTCATCCACACCCACTTTTAAAGGAACCATCAACCACAAAACGGTCGGCAGAGGCAGGCTGCCCGACTTTCAAGACAGTCACATTCCTCGTCCCCGCCCGGACACTTCCTCCACTGTACACACCCCGCAGACCGCGTCCAGCGATATTGGAAGCAACACCATGAGTGCTGCCAGCAGTCGACAGCGTCAAAATCAGTCCAAGCGCGATGAGGTATGCTTGATTCTCCACTTGATTCTCTTCTTGAGGTTTTTTTTACTCTCTACTTCGCTGCACCGGTGATCAGTCGTAACATGGGCCGAAGTCTGAAGCCATCTCCATGGAGTTGCTAGAACATGAAAACATAAGGAAAATTTGCTTAAAGGGGTCATCCCAGCATTGACTCAATTCTAACTACTCCTTCAATCCAGGCGATTCGGCGAAAATTGGAGGCCGACCTCAACAAGAAGCGCCAACACACGACCAGAGCGAACCGTTCTCGCAAAGCTCCTCCCGGCACCGTTCTTGCTTTGAAACCCAGCCAAGCCCTGCAGATTAAGCCTAATACTACCATTGCCGAAGCCGCCCAATTGATGGCCGCTAAGAGAGAAGACTGCGTACTGGTTACCGACGATGATGACCGTATCTCTGGTATCTTCACCGCCAAGGATCTCGCTTTCCGGGTGGTGGGAGCAGGCCACAAGGCGCGTGAAGTCACTGTGGCTGAGATCATGACCAAGAACCCTCTTTGCGCCAGGACCGACACAAGCGCAACCGATGCTCTCGACCTGATGGTACGCAAGGGATTCCGCCATTTGCCCGTCATGGATGAGAATCAGGACATCTCCGGTGTGCTTGATATTACGAAATGCTTCTACGATGCGATGGAGAAACTGGAGCGTGCCTACAGTTCTTCCCGCAAACTCTACGACGCCTTGGAAGGTGTCCAGACCGAACTCGGCTCCAGCCAGCCCCAGCAAATCATTCAGTACGTCGAAGCTTTACGGCATAAGATGTCCGGCCCGACGCTGGAGTCTGTCCTAGATGGCATGCCCCCGACCACCGTCTCTGTCCGCACAACCGTCAAGGAAGCGGCTGCCTTGATGAAAGAGCACCACACCACCGCCCTTCTTGTACAAGACCAGGGCTCTATTACCGGCATCTTCACCAGCAAGGACATCGTACTGCGTGTCATTGCTCCGGGACTTGACCCCGCCACTTGCAGTGTTGTTCGCGTCATGACCCCTCACCCGGATTTTGCCCCCAGCGACATGAGTATCCAAGCTGCGCTTCGGAAAATGCACGGTATGTACACCAGCTTGAGATTATGTTAGAGAAGAGGGCTAACAGCAGAGATATTTAGACGGACACTACCTGAACCTGCCTGTCATGAACGATGCAGGCGAGATTGTGGGTATGGTGGATGTGCTCAAGTTGACATATGCGACTCTGGAACAGGTCAGTTTGAATGCAAGCTTTTAACGGTCCTGAATCTAACATCCCAGCAGATTAATACCATGTCGTCACAGGACGATGAGGGTCCCGCATGGAACAAGTTCTGGCTCTCAATGGACCACGAGTCAGACTCAATGGTCTCAGGAAGCCAGCAGCCCGCTCAGCGGTCAGTGATCAGCCCCGAGTCACCCAAGGCTAGTTACGACACTCGGGACAGCGTTCTCCCCAACGAGTCTGCCTCCCACCACGGTGGGGATGAGCATTCGGAATATGCGGAGCCGCACCATGCGGAACACATCTCGTTTCCGTTCAAATTCAAGGCTCCCAGTGGACGAGTGCACCGCGTGAATGTTCTTCCTGCTGCCGGTGTCGCTGAGCTGGTCGCTCAAGTATCGGCCAAATTGGGTCCCGAGGTAGAGGCCGTCGGTGGTGCTCCAATTAGCGAAGACGGCAAGCTCAGCAACACGGGCTATGCTCTCAGTTACATGGACAACGAAGGCGACACCGTTTCAATCACCACAGACCAGGATCTGTCTGATGCTGTGAGTCTCGCGCGTCTGTCGCATAGGGACAAGGTCGATCTGTTCGTGCACGATCCTAGCCAGCCTCCAATTCCGGCTACGCTGGATCCTCAACCAGCTCCGACCCGTCCTGTCGAGGAGAAAAGTGTGATCTCTGAGGAACGAACCGAGGAGGAGGTGCTAGTGGCCAAGCCCCCCCGGGCTCAGTCCTTCCCTGCACACCACGCCGAGGAGCAGTTCATTGCCGGAGTTCCCAACGAGCTACTGTTGCCCGGAGCGATTGTGACCTTGGCCGCGGTGATTGCGGGTGTATTCATCCTAGGCCGGGCTACTTCTCGGTGAAATCCAAGGTCGTGGTTGCATACGAAGATAGAAAGCTATATGTAATTATGTCTCTTTACTTTCCTGTTTGTCTAATGTTTGTCATAGCCCATCTCGTATCTGTGTAACTCTATTGGCGATCTTTCTGGAGTTCTCTCTCCCTTCTTCTTTCTCTTCCCGGTTTGACATCTCTCAAATTGAGGGTCTTGTTTGGCGCGATGGCATCCTGGTCAAAGTGCGTAGTGTTAGATTCCCTGATTCACATCCGCATGGTGAAGTTTCTTTGGACTGAGGTAGATTTCACGAGCGAGTTGTAAAGAACAAGAACAAAGGCGAGAAGCGGCTTGAATTGCTGAGTGGACATTATAATATCAACCAATGGGGTAGTAATTAGCACTCATCTGCGCATAATTGTGCTGATGATCTGCCGATTGAGTGCTGAGCTGGTTGCCTGGGATGCCTGAACCATTGCCTGAATGGGCAGATCAAGGCCTGAAGAATCTAGGCCTAGTCCAGACTAGGACTAGCTCGTTGGCAGTCCGCCCGCCGTATTGTAGTACTCTGTATTGTTTGCTCTTTTCGATTTTTACCACTGCATTAGTGGCTGAATTATCCCATTTGAATACGGGACCAATACCAGTTGTACACTTCCCCCTCTCTCTCTTTCTTCACTTTAGTGACTTTACCCAACTAAACCTCTTGTCTCTCTCTCTCCAAGGCTTTCTTCCCCTTTCAACTTCCCCCTCCTCTTCCTCTTTTCTCTTCCTCCGTTGCTTGGTGACTGCCTGCCGTTTTCTGGATCGGCTGCAATGCTGAGTTGCGCTTTTCTTTTTTAAATATTCCAGAATCAATATTTAGTCCACGATCTTTGCTTGAAGGCTTCCGACCGCCTTCCCTCCAATCGACCTGTCACGAACTTTTTTTTCGCTGCCCCCCCCCACCAAAAACAATATTTCCCAGAGAGCCTAAACAACCTCCTTCCTTCCCACCTTAACCCACCCCCAACCGACACCACACACCCCCCGGGTTCAAGCGCTGAACCCGCGTTCTTCTATACTTCAATCTAAGCAGTTTTGGCGGGTTAACTGTCTAGATTGAATCCAGTCCGTTAAAATGTCATTGCTCCCTCCCGAGGTCCACTCGGCTCTCTCGCAGCTGTTGCGCGCCCTCTCTACCCCCGACAATGCGGTCCGTTCCCAGGCGGAAGAACAGTTGAACAATGATTGGATTCAGAACCGCCCTGATGTTCTGCTGATGGGCTTAGCGGAGCAGATTCAGGGTGCGGAGGATGTCTTGGTAGGTGTTGCGCTATCCGGAACAAAGAATATAACGGGTGGGCGGGCTGGATGTGTTTCCATCCGTCCAGATCGTGTATTCAGCCATGCGGTCTATAGGTCCCAAATGCTCATCGTTCGTCTTCTATAGACCCGCTCCTTCTCCGCTGTTCTGTTCAGAAGAATGGCGACTAAGACCCGCAAAGACCCCATTTCCAACGAGGCCAAGGAGCTCTTCTCGACCCTGACCGGAGAACAAAGATTAATCATCAGGCAAAAGCTGGTGACTTGCCTGACGAGCGAGTCCGTCACCGACGTTCGCAAGAAGATCGGAGATGCCGTGGCTGAGATCGCCAGACAGTACACCGATAACGGTATGCACATTGTTGATGGGAGAGGGTCATGTTGACGTGCTGACAACGGTGTGCAGGCGACCAATGGCCCGAGTTGCTGGGAGTCCTTTTCCAGGCTAGTCAGTCCCCCGAGGCTGGTTTGCGTGAGGCCGCTTTCCGCATCTTCTCGACCACTCCCGGAATCATCGAAAAGTCTCACGAGGACGCCGTGGTTGGTGTCTTCAGCAAGGGCTTCAAGGATGACGTTGTTTCGGTATGTTTTCCGCTGGAAACTTTCTCGATGGAGTATTGACCAGGGGTAAAGGTGCGCATTGCAGCCATGGAGGCCTTCGCTTCGTTCTTCCGCTCGATCTCCAAGAAGTCGCAACCTAGGTTCTTCCCGCTCATGCCCGACTTGCTCAACATCTTGCCCCCGCTCAAGGAGTCGTCTGAGAGCGACGAGCTCTCTTCTGCCTTCTTGGCACTCATCGAGTTGGCTGAGATCTGCCCCAAGATGTTCAAGACCATGTTCAACAACTTGGTCACTTTCAGTATCAGTGTGATTGCCGATAAGGATCTCAGTGATCAAGTCCGTCAAAATGCCTTGGAACTGATGGCCACTTTTGCCGACTATGCTCCCTCGATGTGCAAGAAAAACCCCGAGTTCGCACAGCAGATGGTTACTCAATGTCTGAGCTTGATGACCGACATCGGTATTGATGACGATGATGCTGAAGAATGGAACGCTTCTGAGGATGTGAGTTGATTTGAGCGCTGCTTCGCAAAGAGTTCGACCGATACTGACCTTATCAGCTTGATCTGGAAGAGAGCGACCTCAACCACGTTGCCGGTGAACAGTGCATGGACCGGTTGGCCAACAAGCTCGGAGGCCAGGTTATCTTGCCCGCTACATTTGCGTGGATTCCTCGTATGATGTCTTCTTCTGCTTGGCGCGATCGCCATGCGGCGCTCATGGCTATTTCGGCCATCTCGGAAGGTTGCCGCGACTTGATGGTTGGTGAACTTGACCAGGTTCTTCAGTTGGTTGTCCCCGCTCTTCAAGACCCCCACCCGCGCGTGCGGTATGCCGGCTGCAATGCCTTAGGTCAAATGAGCACAGACTTTGCTGGCACCATGCAAGAGAAGTACCATTCTGTGGTGCTTACCAACATCATTCCCGTACTCGACAGCACTGAGCCCCGCGTTCAGGCTCACGCCGCTGCAGCCCTGGTGAACTTCTGCGAAGAGGCGGAGCGGAAGATCCTTGAGCCCTACTTGGCTGAACTTCTGCGTCACCTCCTCCAGCTGCTGCGCAGCCCTAAGCGCTACGTGCAGGAGCAGGCTCTATCTACCATCGCTACCATCGCCGACTCCGCCGAAAACGCTTTCGATCAATACTACGATACCCTGATGCCATTGTTGTTCAACGTTCTGAAGGAAGAGCAATCCAAGGAGTATCGCTTGCTCCGTGCCAAGGCCATGGAGTGTGCCACCCTCATTGCTCTGGCTGTTGGCAAGGAAAAGATGGGTCAAGATGCTCTGAACCTGGTACAGCTGCTGGGCAACATCCAGGCCAACATCGTTGATGCAGATGACCCGCAATCGCAGTACTTGCTCCACTGCTGGGGCCGCATGTGCCGGGTGTTGGGGCAGGACTTCGTTCCCTATCTTCCGGGCGTGATGCCGCCTTTGTTGAGTGTTGCGGCCGCTAAGGCTGACATCCAGTTGCTCGATGACGAGGATCAGATTGACCAAGTCGATCAGGATGAGGGCTGGGAGCTGGTGCCTCTCAAGGGCAAGATCATCGGTATCAAGACCAGCGCGCTGGAGGACAAGAACACTGCTATTGAGCTGATCACCATCTACGCTCAGATCTTGGAGGGTGCCTTCGAGCCCTACGTGTTGGACACGATGGAGAAGATCGCCGTGCCAGGACTTGCATTCTTCTTCCACGATCCTGTGCGGGTGTCGTCGGCTAAGCTCATTCCTCAGCTTCTCAACTCCTACAAGAAGGCCCACGGCGAACAGTCTACTGGGTTCGCTGGCATCTGGAACAAGGTTGCTGAGAAGATCATCGAGGTTTTGAGCGCTGAGCCTACCGTGGACACGCTCGCTGAGATGTACCAGTGCTTCTACGAGTCGGTGGAAGTTGTGGGCCAGAACTGCCTCACCCAGCAGCACATGCAGGCATTCATCGAGTCGTCCAAGTCGACGCTAGAGGATTATCAGGTCCGTGTCAAGGCCCGCTTGGAAGATCGCGCCGAGGCCGATGACGGTGAGGACGATAACCTGGACTATGAGTACGCCATCGAGGACGACCAGAACCTGCTTAGTGACATGAACAAAGCCTTCCACACCATTTTCAAGAACCAGGGCACGACATTCCTGCCTGCTTGGGAACAGCTTATGCCTTTCTACGATGCATTTATCACCAGCCAAGACCTGACCCAGCGTCAATGGGCTCTGTGTATTATGGACGATGTCCTGGAGTTCTGCGGCCAGGAGTCTTGGAAGTACAAAGATCACATCATGCAGCCGCTGGCGGCCGGTCTGCAGGATGCCAACGCGGCCAACCGACAGGCTGCTGCCTACGGTGTGGGTGTTGCGGCGCAGAAGGGTGGCGCCGCCTGGAGCGACTTTGTGGCAGCCAGCATCCCTAGCCTGCTGCAGGTGACGCAAATCAACCAGGCGCGCACGGAAGAGCACGTGTTTGCCACGGAGAATGCGTCGGCAAGTATCGCCAAGATTCTGCACTACAACTCGAGCAAGGTGCAAAACGCCCAGGAGGTTGTGGCTACGTGGTTGACCACTTTGCCGATTACCTTCGATGAGGAGGCCGCTCCCTATGCTTATTCCTTCCTTGCCCAGCTCATTGACCAGTAAGTTCGCTGTTCGAGCAGTGCAGTGATTAGAGGCTAACCAGAAATAGACAAAACCCGGCTGTGCTGTCGAACGCCGACAAGGTGTTCGGGTACATTGTGCAGGCGTTGGAGGCGGAGACTCTACAGGGCCAGACAGCTGGTCGGGTGGCCAACTCGGCGAAGCAGTTGGTGGCCACGACGGGCTTGAACGCGGATCAGATCCTGGCCGGTGTGAACCCGGATAACCAGGCGGCGATTCGCAGCTATTTCAACTGATTTTTTCTTCGATATCATTATGAGTTGATGTTAGGGCTATGGAAATACCGGGTTCTTTTTTGTTACTTTGTACAGCGATACAGGTGCTTGATGCTTTACGTAGGTAGGAAGGAGCTACGTACTAGTTATAATTGAGCTAGAGATCTATTATGTCGTGTCGTGTCGTGTTCGGGTGTATTGGAGCACTAATGATGTTTGGAATGAGGATTCTGTCGTAGCTCGCCGCAAGGCCCAAAGTGTAAGATGTGTTGACGCTTCGGGAACCGTCTATCGATATATAGTCTGGTACAGTCCCGTCTTGGCCATAACTATACCTCCTTCCCTGACCTCTCACTGCACCACCATCTCCAAAATCTCCAACACCTGGCTCTTCTCCTTCAGGGGCACGGGATTCGTCTGACACCACCGATCGTGCAGGCTATTCTCCGCCAGGCCGTCCAGCTGGTCCCGGCCGACCCCAACCTCCCGGAGGGAGCGGGGCATGCCCAGCTCGCGGATGACCGCGTCCAGCACATCGCCCAGACCCATCTGGTCCAGCTCCTCCTTCCCCTGGCGGCGCAAGACCTCCACCACCTCGGCCCGTTTGACGAGGAATTGCTTCAGCTTCTCCTGCCGGTCCCGATTCGCGCCATGCGCCGCATTGTACTTGCAGACAGCAGGCAGGAGGATACAGGAGGTTTCGCCGTGACCGACGCCGAGGGGACCTAACTATAGACGTTCGGGGGCGGGGATACATCGCCCCTTGGTGTTAGCTGTTATGTCCTAGTTCTGCCTTTTCAAATGTCTTTCCAACCCCCACCAATCCAGAACCAAGGTCCTGATTGACAAGAACGAGGAGGAAACCAAGGCGCTCAGGTTCGGGTGTATGTTTATGTTTTATGTTTATATCTAGGTGTAAGGAGAGACCAACCTGATGCCCAATCCCATGACTCGCCCCCAACTGCAGCGCGCCCTGCTCGGCCGTCACGGCCGCCATGGCATCCACCGAACCGAGCTGACAGTCCAGCCGCGCCTCGGCGTCCGCGGGGTCGCGGGCGGTCCGAATCAAGCCGGGGACCAGCAGGCCCAGCGCGTGCAGGGACAGCTGGTCCGTCTCGGTGGTCGTGCCCCGCACGGCGCAGTAGGTCTCGACCCCGTGGTCGACGGCGCGCACCCCCGTCGACAGCCACACCCGTGCCGGCGTCGTCGTCGTCAGCGCCGGGTCCAGGATCACCAGCCCCGGGCCCCGGATCGGGTAGTGGAACGTGTGCTTCCGGCGTGTCGTGTCGTGCGTCGCGCCCGCGAACGAGCTGTATTCGCCGGCTGAGAGGGAGGTCGGGATCGAGATGATCGGGATGGAGGGCGGGTGGAGGTCTGGGGATTGAGAGGGGCCCGTGGGGAGGGTGGAGAGGTCGGTCATTGTGGTTGCGTTGTTGGCTAGTGCCTTATCGGGGGAAGAGCATTAGTTGTTTAGTCATGCATTGATAATGGTAAATGTGGTAGTGGTGGTGGTGGTTGGGTGTTTGCATGTATATGTATCTGGTGGGGGCGTGGATGGGCTCGGCTCCGGGGATCATAGTATATAGATATAGATTAAGACCCAACAGCCAGTTCGTATTGTACATTATGTGTATTTTCCTCGGGGGATTGGAGGTTCATAGTGGGGTGACAGGATAGAGAACGATCGACCGACTCACCAACGCAATCACTTTGGCTGCATCGGTCAGGCTGCCAGCCCCCAGAGTAATCAAGCAATCGGCTTCGACTTCTCGCGCGGCGTTCGCAACCTCCAGGACCTCGGACCAGAGCGTGTGGCTCTGCATGCCGATCCGTTTCCCGACCACTTTCTCCTCGCCAATTGCGGCGACCAGTCGGTCCAGTGCGTCGGTGTTGCGCGCCAGGGATCCGGAGCAGATGATATAGACTCGGGAGGCGTGGAACAGGTCGTCGACATGGTGGGCGGCGGCGGCGGGGAAGGGAATCCCGTAGGAGAGCAGAGGCCGCGGGCGGTCGACAAAGGCGGGGCGCAGGGTTTCTGTCATGGTTGTTAGTGGTTGTTGGGGGGAGGGGGAGAATGGGACTGGGTGAATATAGCGAGGCGTATGAAGTACGAAGAAAAAGAAGAGAGTGGATAGATTAAGTGGGAGGAGATGTTGTTGCAAGTAGGGGAATTATTTACTTTCAATAACATTGTATGAGTATAAGCAAGCAAGCATGTGGAAGTGGGGCTGACATCAACCCGGGCGGGGTGGAGCGGAAATGATGTAATCAGGCATTAAATTGTCTGTGTCCTCCACTCACTACTCAGCACAGTTTACTAACTTACTCACTACCTAGTCTCACATCTCACATCTGTCAGTAAACATGGATTAGAAGAATCAAAATCACAATCACAATCACAATCACAATCACAATCATCGTCAGTACGCCAAACACCTCGGGTCAATAGTCCACCACCCTTTCCTTCTCGCACATAAGTCAGTAAGTAGTCCAAGTGAGCCTGCCCCGCCATTAGTTAATAACTACACATGAATATTAGAAACAGCATAAACAGCAACAACAACAAAATTAAGAACAGCAGCAGCAGCAGCAGCAGCATCTACTCATGCAGACTTCTCCTCATCCGTCACGGCTGCCCGCAACTCCCACACAATATCATAGCATTCCGCCAACAAGGCATTCACACTACCCTGTCCTTCGGGGATATCAGTTCCCACGTAGAACTTGCCATCCACCCGCATGTTGTCAATCGAGTTCAACTGTCACAACGGTTAGCTTGAACCATACCAGACACGCCGGGAAATACACGCCTTCATGCTGTATGGGTAAAGCTCGCGTGAATTAGACACTCCCCCGGACTCCTGCACCTCCAGCAGGCATTTGCGCAGTGTCTGTAGCTGATTGAACACCGGCAGCAAGGCCTCCGAAACTGGCTCGGATGAGATCAATAGGGAATAGATGTATCCGTAGCTTCGTCGGATCAGATAGAGCAAAGTCTGTAACCACCCACCAGTCAGCGCACGTCCCGTTTCCCGTCCGCGTCTCGGATCACACCTACCCTTTGCGCATGGACATCCGCCACGTTCCCCTCATTGTCGACGAAGTTCCCATTGACCCGCGCTTCATCGATGCGGTCAAGTTTCCGCTGGTAGCCGAAAAGATCCGTTTCGCGGAGAGACCACGCCTGTGTGACGGAAAGCCGATCGAGCTGGTTTTTGATATCGATCAACCGGTCGTATTGTTCTTGAAAGCGCTCATCAATCTTGCCTTCCCTACGATAGAGTCAGCGACTAGTTTTTCGGACAGGTCAGTGAGCAGCGTCAACATACCGTTCCAGAACAATCTCCGTCCAGCGCCAGCACCGTTCCAGTAGAGTCTTAGTCGCACCCTGAGCCCCAGGCAGGGGTACGCCATCTGCGTCGACAAATTGTCCGTCCTTCATGCTCGCTTGGACTTTCTTCAGCTGCTCGCGCAGGTTGTTGACCTCCGAGGCCGAGAACTGGTGGCTAGGTTAGCGGGCTCCGGCGAGACCACCGAGAAGACCTACCTTTGAACGAGTGTTGACGGCGGAGGTCGACCGCAGAACTGACACCAGCGTCTCATGGATGGACGCCAACCCCGGGCTCAGTTTGGCGAGCCCGCTCTGTAGCTTCTCAAGCTGCAATTGGCACTTCTCCAGACGACTTTCCAACAGCGTGATCAGGGCAGGCGAGTACGCATCGCGACAGCGCTCGAGGGTCTCGTTCGTGTTGGCGAGAGTCTTGGTGATCGAGCTCAGGTCTTTAGCGCTGTAGAAGCCCGCTTCTTCGAGGTGGTCGAGGAGTCGCTAGAGTAGGGGGTGTTAAGATCCGGGGACCGGGAAACAAACCAGCCCAACCACATACCTGAACCGTAGTCGCAAGAGAGTATCTGTCCGCGATAAGAGTCAGATGACGGCGGACAGGGCAGTTGGGCGATCAATCATGGAGGGACCTACAGCGCCGGAGCTTCATTGTTTCTCCCCACCGTCAAGAATAGCAAGGAGATCAACTGGAAACAATCGTCGAGGACATAATCCACTAGATCCCACCCCCCAAAAAAAGAGAAAGTCAGCGACACCATCGCACATCGAATCTTCATGCACAGGCCCACTCAGTGCTAACGTCGGTTATGTGTCAGCCGGCGGTCTTCTTCCTTCCGAACGGCATTGAGCTTCTCCACCTCGGCAATGACCTCTTCGTACATCGGGAGCACGTCGCGGGATTTGATGTAGGTGGACTTGTCTTGTTTGAGGAGGAGGAGCGCATCGCGGGTGCGCAGGAGGCGCTCGAGGATGGGTTGCTCCTTGGGATTTAGCGGGGCGGGGACGGCGGGGGAGTCCATGATGCGCGAAGGTGTAGACAAAAAGGTGAGGGGGGGGAGAGGGGAGGGGAGAGGGTTTAGAGGTATGTATAAAACCAACTGCGCTGTGAGAGAGTGAGAACCAGGGGCGCGATCAAGGCAAGTTCAAGGTTGGTCTGAAATAATGACCCGGCAGCATCAGATGATGATAAATGAGTACGGAGTAACTACTGACGGAGTAAGTAGATTAGATGATGATGGCATCGCCGAGAGGCATGACCGTATCGGGACTAGGGTGAAAGTCACGGGTCACGGGCTGGGGTGGGGGGGGGAAGTATTAACGCTAAACCCAAGACGGAGCAGCCCTAAGCGAGGGCTTTGACGCGGCGGAAACACACAACTTCCGTAGTGGGTGAAGCGTTAGTCACTCACTCGTCCGACTCCCCTTCTCGACCAGGCCAGTTACAAAAAAGTCCCTTCGTCCTTTTTCCTCTTCCCTAATCCCCATCCCTCTCGAGACTCCAGTCCAGTCCAACCTCCCGTCGACCATCATGTCTACTGCTGAGCTCGCTTGCTCCTACGCGGCCCTCATCCTCGCCGATGACGGCGTCGAGGTCACCGTACGTATTCCCCTTTGTCCTTGATTGAACGTTGACTCGGTTATCATTGTGTCTGGTATTTGATATCTGGAGGACCCTCCCCCTTGAGTCGCATGGAAACGGTGCTGGGAATACTGGAAAGGCGACAAGAACGAAATACAAAGTCGCGAGAAATAAAAAGAGAAGGAAATCGAAAAGGCTATCAATACAGCGATGGAAAATTTCACCAATCTTGAAGAAGAAAGCTGCGACACGGT